CACATGAGGGAGGAGAATGAAAAGGTCCGTTTCTGTTTAAAACGTGATGGGTACTACATGAAAAGAGATGGGTCAGAATGTTCTGGAGGTTTTAGGAGGGCAAAACAAAAACAAACCTTGAACAGTTTTAGGATAAACTGTAGGAGAGAGCAGAGAAACGAGAGGCTGGCCAAACAGGTTAGAGAAGTTCTGTTCAAACAGACATAAAACATCTGGTTAGCCAAAAAACACAAGGTTAGCCATAAAACATATGGTTAGCCAAAAAACACATGGTTAGCAATAAAACATCTGGTTAGCCAAAAAACACATGGTTGGCCATAAAACATCTGGTTAGCCATAAAACATCTGGTTGGCCAAAAAACACAAGGTTAGCCAAAAAATACATGGTTAGCCAAAAAACACATGGTTAGCAATAAAATATCTGGTTAGCCAAAAACACATGGTTAGCCAAAAAACATCTGGTTAGCCATAAACATATAGTTAGCCAAAAAAACACATGGTTAGCCAAAAAACACATGGTTAGCCAAAAAACACATGGTTAGCCATAAAACACATGGTTAGCCAAAAAATATCTGGTTATCCATAAAACACCTGGTTAGCCACAGAGGCCCATAAAACGAGGGTTTTCTCTACGGTTCGGCCCGTCATTCACAGGAACATGAAGATAAATGGCACCAAAAAGGATTCACTTAAAACTCAGACCAAAGTAGAGACTTCTGAATTCTCTTGTCAGCATTTGCTGGTGGACGTCACACTCCCGGGGTTTAGGTTTCAGAACACGACTGCCCACAAGGTTATACTTGTGTTTAAATAAAACCACATCATGGGTGTTTTGACCACGCCAGTCACGTACTTTGAGATTTACTAGCTTGTAAAAGTTCGTAATTAGCATGACTACAAATTAGACATGGGCACGTTGCACATGTGACGTCACCACGGAATCTCCTCCCCCCCTAGCGTAGCTGCTACATACCACATGACCAGATTCATGTTGGTTCTTTCTTCCCGAAGGAAGGATTTGAAGTTTGCTGAACTTACAGCCCTTTTCCCTCAGTTTTCTCTGTGTCTGGTTCGATGACGTCACTTTGGTGAAGCGCAAATGTAGTCCTGGACTTATTTTTCACAAAATCTATAATAACGTTTACCCCATTCGTAAATAAGCACATTCTTGGTACCGAAATGTGTCTTCAAAACTCACGGACATCATGTGTGAAATCCATGGCACAAAACAAGCAGAATTAGAAAATAGCGTTTTTAGCCCCGTTGACTTGCGTTCTTTTTTTCGTGCTTCCTAAGACCCGTGGTCCGGAAGTAGATGGGCGTGGCTTAGGCTCCCTATGGACGGTAACTGCCCACTACTTAGGATATTTGATGTCAAAACGTCAAAGATGTGAGGAACTACTGCCACCTACAGGCTCGGCATGCATATGAATGTGCTTCACAATGCTCTGGATTCCATTCGCTGAAAACAAGTTGGTGTGGACCCGAGCTGTTTCCTAGGTGGGTGGGGGAGGATATTCAGTATTACTGAAACAGTGATGTGCGCACATGGCCTCAAACATCTGGTTAGACACTAAAACACCAAACAGAAAGCAGGCTGACGTTGTCATGACTCACCTTATAGGCTGAGCTGTTGGATGAATCCACGATGAGAAAAAGAGGCTTCCGTGTAAAAGGAAACAGATCACCTGGGTGGAGACTGTAACCATGGAAACACAAGATCCATCACAATGACCACCTGTATTAGAATCTGCCAAAAACAGATTCAGGGACCAAGACCAGGACCAGAGTGGATACCAAGACCTAAACATACCAGTGCATCTCCTTCTGGGCCTGGTTCCTCTTCTGGACCATCTCCCCGTTCACCACATCTCTATTGGTGTTTGTCAGAACTCCTCCGAAGTCGTATGGACCTGCCGGGAATGCTGCAGAAGAACCGGATATGAGAAACAGGAGTAGAGAGTGAAGGGGACATGAACTTCAGCTTCTGACACTACATAAAAACAAACGTGCAGTCACATGATTTTGGGTCGTGGTGTTCATCTAAATCTGGACTCCAACACTGAAACAGCTGGAACGCTGAGAACATGAAAGGAATTTTAACCTAAAGGATGAAAATGGTAAATGGCATGTGTTGATATAACACCTTATAAGGTTGTACAATGGACGAAAGATTCACTGTAGTGTAAAGTGCTTTGGAGTCCTCAGACTCTGAAAGGCGCTACACAGGCGTGGGTCATCCATCCGTTTATTTGGAAACGTGTCAGGAATCGGTGGAGCTGTTGTAGGACCCAACTGCGTTGAGGTTTAGAGTTATCCAAGAAGCAGAATCATTTAGAGGGTTAAACCAGCAGCAGTTGTGGTAGAGAGAACTCCTGAAAATCCTGATTCTGGAAGTGAAGACCGCCACACAAAGAGCTGCTGATGTTTGGGTGAGAGGTCAGGATCAAAAACAGGAAGAAGAGCTGAACATTCATCATGTGAAAACACAGGAATGCTTGGAAGTCTGCTGTATTCCCAACAAACCCTGAATCAGTCACCGGACCCCTCGCTGACCCCCGCCAGGGGCCTCATCCATTCATCAAAGCTGTTTTCTCACAAAAAATGTCTCACACTTTGTGATTTATAGAAAATAATGATGGAAAAACATGGCAACTTTAGGCAAATTCTCACACACACACACACACACACACACACACACACACACACACACACACACACACACACACACACACATCCCTGACTCGGAGAAGGCATTCTACCATTTTCCGAATCAAGACCATGGTCTCAATAAATTCCTCCCACGCCCGGGATTTTGCCTCCCCAACCACCCGAGCCGTATTCCGCTTGGACTGTCGGTACCCGTCAGCTGCCTCTGGAGTCCCACAGGCCAAAATGTCCTGATAGGACTCTTTCTTCAGCTTGACAGCATTTCTAACTGCCAGAGTCCACCAGCGGGTTTGGGGGTTGCCACCACGACCGGCACCGACGACCCCGCAGCAGCTCTGGTCAGCCGCCTCAACAATGGAGGCACGGAACAGGGTCCATTCGGACTCAATGTCCCCCGCCTACCCTGGAACATTTTGGGAGTTCTGTCTTCACAAATGTGTTTTTTCACCACAACAAATCCAACTGGGATGTTATCATAATGCAGCCATGCAGAGAAGAGAATATTATTCATCCATTACCTTCATAATCCGAGTGTCCGGCTGGGAAAACTCCAGTAGCTGATAAATACACCAGCAGGACGCTGTTGGCAGGTAACTCCTGGAATAACAAGAAAAACCTTAAAAAGACATTACATCCACCCTGAAGTGTGTTTGTCTGCTAGCTTCTTGAACAGCCTATGTTCAGAGAAATAAGGATTACAACCTTCAGTACTGATACAGTACTGTGCTCATGATGTAGGGATCACTGGATCATTAAATCATGGAGGGGGCCATCGGCTAGCACACTGCTGCTAACTCATTCACTGCCAACGACGACTAAAGTCATCATTTACATGTTTTTACTGTGTGGGTGTCGGACGAGCCCCCGCACGGTGAAAACAAACATCTCAGCTCTAAAGCCGATCTTCATCCGCGTACGTCACACGTCACATGATCAGGAAGCAGAACATCCATGTGTTAGGAGATCGTTTTGGGACGCTGCTGTAAAAAAAAAGTGAGCGCGAACCAGAAAAGCTTCTGCCGATCACAATTCAACAACGGATTATGAAAGAACGGATAACGCTCGAAACGCACGGATTCTTCCTGATGTAAGAGGTGAGTCTCTGCTTTGTTTTGGTAATTTTGCCGTCGACATCATCCGAGCGCGCAACGTTCTGTGACTCTTAAAAAACAGTAAAAACGGTGAGAAACGCTGGCAGCGAATGAGTTAAACATTCTCCCTCTCGTGATAATAACATTTTACACTCTTTGACATTGAATGTGCTACTACTAGTTTACCCGTTAAATTATAGATTCACTAGGATAAATACAAAAAGTTTATCTCTCACCAAACAGAATATTTACTAAGAAATCACAATGTAACCATAGACACACTACTTGGTATACATGGTGTGTGTGTGTGTGTGTGTGTGTGTGTGTGTGTGTGTGTGTGTGTGTGTGTGTGTGTGTGTGTGTGTGTGTGTGTGTGTGTGTGTGTGTGTGTAAAGAATAAAAACACCACACGCTACATATGCTAGCATGCTAAGTTGTTATACGGTTACGTGGGTGTGTTTTGTTGGGATTAAGGTAAGAGAAGGTTCCAGCAATGGATGGAAAACAAAACGGAACAGCATTCCAGGACTGTGGTTTGGACTAACAGCTGTTTAAGGATCTCATGTTCTACCTTTAGAGTGTTGGTCTGGGGTTGTAGGACAAGGCTGGACCGGAACACTGACCTTAAAGGAAGCAGACAGGAATGTGAAGAGCTGGCTGAAGGTTGGTTTGTACAGCAGATACTTGTGAGGGTTCTCACGCTTCGCTGGCTTCTCGCTGGGTTCCTGTGGAACACAGATCACCTCTGAGTTTGTGTCCTCTACAACAATCAGCCATGTTTACCAGCCAAACGTTCATCCACCACAGGAATAGTTCAATAAGAACCACAAAGGTTCTGACTAGAGGTCGACTAGTGTCGGTTTTTCTATCGCCGATACCGATGCCGATATGTAGGAGACATGGTCAGTCAATGGCCAATATGTGCTACCAATTTTCATGGACTGCACTATATCTACAGTATATGTACAGTATACCTATAGTATATCTACAGCATATCCACACTATATCTACACAATATCTACAGTATATCTACATTATATCTACAGTGTATCTACACTATATCTACAGTATATCTACACTATATCTACACTATATCTACAGTATATCTACACTATATCTACAGTATATCTACACTATATCTACAGTATATCTACACTATATCTACACTATATCTACACTATATCTACAGTATATCTACAGTATATCTACAGTATATCTAGTGTATCTACACTATATCTACAGTATATCTAGACTATATCTACACTGTATCTACAGTATATCTACATTATATCTACAGTGTATCTACACTATATCTACACTATATCTACAGTATATCTAGTGTATCTACACTATATCTACAGTATATCTAGACTATATCTACACTATATCTACACTACATCTACAGTACATCTAGTGTATCTACACTATATCTACAGTATATCTAGACTATATCTACACTGTATCTACAGTATATCTACATTATATCTACAGTGTATCTACACTATATCTACACTATATCTACAGTACATCTAGTGTATCTACACTATATCTACAGTATATCTAGACTATATCTACACTGTATCTACAGTATATCTACATTATATCTACAGTGTATCTACACTATATCTACACTATATCTACAGTATATCTAGACTATATCTACACTGTATCTACAGTATATCTACACTATATCTACAGTATATCTACACTATATCTACACAATATCTACAGTATATCTAGTGTATCTACAGTGTATCTACACTATATCTACACTGTATCTACAGTATATCTACACTATATCTACAGTATATCTACACTATATCTACACAATATCTACAGTATATCTAGTGTATCTACAGTGTATCTACACTATATCTACACTGTATCTACAGTATATCTACACTATATCTACACTGTATCTACAGTATATCTACACTATATCTACAGTATATCTACATTATATCTACAGTGTATCTACACTATATTTACAGTATATCTACATTATATCTACAGCATATCTACAGTGTATCTACACTATATCTACATTATATCTACAGTGTATCTACACTATATCTACACTATATCTACAGTATATCTAGTGTATCTACACTATATCTACAGTATATCTAGACTATATCTACACTGTATCTACAGTATATCTACACTATATCTACAGTATATCTACACTATATCTACACAATATCTACAGTATATCTAGTGTATCTACAGTGTATCTACACTATATCTACACTGTATCTACAGTATATCTACACTATATCTACAGTATATCTACATTATATCTACAGTGTATCTACACTATATTTACAGTATATCTACATTATATCTACAGCATATCTACAGTGTATCTACACTATATCTACAGTATATGTAAACTATATCTACACTATATCTACAGTATATCTACAGTATATCTAGTGTATCTACAGTGTATCTATACTATATCTACAGTATATCTAGTGTATCTACAGTGTATCTACACTATATCTACAGTATATGTAAACTATATCTACACTATATCTACAGTATATCTACAGTATATGTAAACTATATCTACAGTATATCTACATTATATCTACAGTGTATCTACACTATATTTACAGTATATCTACATTATATCTACAGCATATCTACAGTGTATCTACACTATATCTACAGTATATCTACACTATATCTACAGTATATCTACATTATATCTACAGTGTATCTACACTATATTTACAGTATATCTACATTATATCTACAGCATATCTACAGTGTATCTACACTATATCTACAGTATATGTAAACTATATCTACACTATATCTACAGTATATCTACAGTATATCTAGTGTATCTACAATGTATCTACACTATATCTACAGTATATCTAGTGTATCTACAGTGTATCTACACTATATCTACACTGTATCTACAGTATATCTACACTGTATCTACAGTATATCTACACTATATCTACATTATATTTACAGTATATCAACACTATATCTACAGTATACTTTATATCTACAGCATATCTACTAGGGCCTGCACGACTTTATTTTTTTTAAAGTCGACAGTCAAGTAATGAAAGTCGAGTCGACTTCGACTAGTCGTTGATGACGTCATACGCCGGAAGCGGTGGCGCGCGGGGGGGGGGTCGGTCGGTAGGTTCACTGGAGTTTTTGACAATTAAAATTGCGCCCACATTTTCTAAGTTAACACATCTCTTTTATCAACGGTAGTTTCTGCATCCTACTGCAGCCATCTCCCCCCTCCCCCTGCGCAGCAGCGTGCAAACTCACTGATGCGCCTGCAGCCTTTCCTGCTGCTCTAAACTTTAAAATAATTATTAAATAATTAAATAATAATTATTTCATTTTCTGTTCCTCACTTCTGATTACCTTCAGTGGTGTCTGTTTGTTGCAACCACCAGGTACAAAAACTAACTTGTTTTTATTTGACTATTTTTCTGTCCTGCCTGTTTATTATCTTCCTGCATCTCCTCTCAGTCCTAAAGAAAAACTGCTACCTGGGTTCATATATATTCACCTCATGAGTTACCTTTCAACTGCAGTTCTAAAAGATCTACCGACCGCAAAAACAGCGGAGTGCCGCTGCTCGCCGGCCGACTACAACAGGACCGTTTTTGCTGCGGAGTTCGTGCCGGAGCGGAGCGGAGGTAGTGGAATTTTGGGGGTGCGTCACCGGAGGACAACAGGTGAAGAGCCTCGCTCCGCAGCAGCGAAAAGCATCAGGCACAAATAACAGACAGAAAACATGAAAGGAAATGAGCCGACATGAACGATCGCGTGTTTAATTTGTTTTTGAGGTGGTGACACCTGATTTGGCGGTGCTCAGGACGCAATGTCTGGAGCGCACGTCAACGATCAGAGCTTTGCATGCGCAAACTGGTTAAGATTAGGATGGGGGTGAGGGGAAGGTTAAATTGCAAGAGGGAAAAGGTCACAGTTTGGTTAAATGTCCGTTTTACCGCCGGTGTCAGTACCGCACAGCGCGTCGCCTCCGCCTCGATCCAGACACGCAGGGGCTCATCACCTGCAGTCTTTTCCGAGGACTGCATCTTGTCAGTCATTATCACGTGACAGCGACTAGTTGATGACAGGCATAAAAAGTCACTACAGAGCCGTGAAGTCGACTAGTCGACTAGTTCCTACAACCCCTAATATCTACAGTGTATCTACACTATATCTACAGTATATCTATATCTGCACTATATCTACAGTATATGTAAACTATATCTACAGAATATCTACACTATATCTACAGTATATCTACAGTATATGTAAACTATATCTACAGTAGATCTACACTATATCTACAGTATATCTACACTATATCTACAGTATATCTACAGTATATGTAAACTATATCTACACTATATCTACAGTAGATCTACACTATATCTACAGTATATCTACAGTATATGTAAACTATATCTACACTATATCTACAGTAGATCTAACTATATCTACAGTAGATCTACACTATATCTACAGTATATGTAAACTATATCTACAGAATATCTACACTATATCTACAGTATATGTAAACTATAACTACACTATATCTACAGTATATCTACACTATATCTACAGTATATCCACAGTATATGTAAACTATATCTACACTATATCTACAGTATATCTACAGTATATGTAAACTATATCTACACTATATCTACAGTAGATCTACACTATATCTATAGTATATGTACACTATATCTACAGTAGATCTACAATATATCTACACTATATCTACACTATATCTATAGTATATGTACACTATATCTACAGTAGATCTACAATATATCTACACTATATCTACAGTACATCTACAGTATATCTACACTATATCTACAGCCTATCTACAGTATATCTACACTATATCAAAGTCAAAGTCAATTTTATTGTCAATTCTACCACATGTGCAAGACATACAGAGAAATGAAATTGAGTTTCAGTACACCCAATTCAGAGATCAGACATACAGGTGCTGGCCAGTAAATTAGAATATCATCAAAAGGTTGAAAATATTTCAGTAATTCCATTCAAAACGTGAAACTTGTACATTATATTCATGCAATGCACACAGACCAATGTATTTCCGATGTTTATTACGTTTAATTTTGATATTTATAGGTGACAACCAATGAAAACATCAAATCTGGTATCTCAGAAAATTAGAATATTCTAAAGGCCAATGAAAAAATGTTTGTTTCTCTAATGTTGGCCAACTGAAAAGAATGAACATGAAAAGAATGTGCATGTATAGCACTCAATACTTAGTCGGGGCTCCTTTTGCCTCAATAACTGCAGTAATGCGGCGTGGCATGGACTCGATCAGTCTGTGGCACTGCTCAGGTGTTATGAGAGCCCAGGTTGCTCTGATAGTCGTCTTCAGCTCCTCTGCATTGTTGGGTCTAGCGTATTGCATCCTCCGCTTCACAATACCCCATAGATTTTCTATGGGGTTAAGGTCAGGCGAGTTTGCTGGCCAATCAAGGACAGGGATACCATGGTCCTTGAACCAGGTGCTGGTGGTTTTGGCACTGTGTGCAGGTGCCAAGTCCTGTTGAAAGGTGAAGTCTGCATCCCCATAAAGTTGGTCAGCAGCAGGAAGCATGAAGTGCTCTAAAACTTCCTGGTAGACGGCTGCATTGACCCTGGACCTCAGGAAACAGAGTGGGCCAACACCGGCAGATGACATGGCACCCCACACCATCACTGACGGTGGAAACTTTACACTGGACCTCATGCAACGTGGATTCTGTGCTTCTCCGCTCTTCCTCCAGACTCTGGGTCCTTGATTTCCAAAGGAAATGCAGAACTTGCTTTCATCAGAAAACATAACTTTGGACCACTCAGCATCAGTCCAGTCCTTTTTGTCCTTGGCCCAGGCGAGACGCTTCTTGCGCTGTTTCTTGTTCAAGAGTGGCTTGACACACGGAATGCGACACCTGAATCCCATGTCTTTCATGAGTCTCCTCGTGGTGGTTCTTGAAGCGCTGACTCCAGCTGCAGTCCACTCTTTGTGGATCTCCCCCACATTTTTGAATGGGTTTGTCGTCACAATTCTCTGCAGGGTGCGGTTATCCCTAGAGCTTGTACACTTTTTTCTACCACATTTTTTCCGTCCCTTCGCCTGTCTGTTAATGTGCTTGGACACAGAGCTCTGCGAACAGCCAGCTTCTTTAGCAATCACCTTTTGTGTCTTGCCCTCCTTGTGCAAGGTGTCAATGATTGTCTTTTGGACAGCTGTTAAGTCAGAAGTCTTCCCCATGATTGTGGTGCCTTCAAAACAAGACTGAGGGACCTTTTAAAGGCCTTTGCAGGTGTTTTGAGTAAATCAGCTGATTAGAGTGGCAGCAGGTGTCTTCTATATTCAGCCTTTTCAGAATATTCTAATTTTTTGAGATACCAAATTTGGAGTTTTCATTAGTTGTCACTTATGAATATCAAATTTAAATGTAATGAACATTGGAAATACATTGGTCTGTGTGCATTGCATGAATATAATGTACAAGTTTCACGTTTTGAATGGAATTACTGAAATATTTTCAACCTTTTGATGATATTCTAATTTACTGGCCAGCACCTGTACATGGGCAAGACACATGACAAGAATTGGTGACTGTGGTCCTTTGCAACACGAGTCGCACTACCTTAAAAGATGAAAAGGGAATTACATGAGGATAAATTGGGGAGAGAAAAAAAAAGGCATACCAGAGTTACTCCCGGCAGGGCGTAGCTTTACTATGCAAAAAAAGCGCCTCAAACATATAAGCACGAACATCACAGTTCACAACATGAGACTCCGATAGGGAGGTGGGGGGGGGGGGGATCCTGTTTCCCCAGGGCGAGCAGCCCTGTGTGGCGCTCAGCCAGCTGTATCCACAGGAGGGAGGGAGATCTTGGAGGAGCGCAGAGCACATTTGAGTTCCTGCAGGTTGATGACCTCGCTATGCAGAAGTCCACAATCTGAAGGTGGGGGGGTAGGATGGGTTTTCACAGAATCTGTCTGCATTCCTTCCTTCGTGGGGGTTGTTGTTAGCAGCTCAAGGCTGCCTTGGCGTCAGATTTGGATAACAAGACTTTGTTTGGGTCAGGCAGAGATAATTTTCCTCTCTGCCTTGAAGTATATATTGATCATTCAAGTCCTCCAATGAAGCCAATTTAGGTATTAATCATCCCCACACCGTCCGGTGATCCTCTCCGAGATGACATCCATTTTGCGCACTACACCGGTAACGCAGCTAAGACATTGTCCAGCTTACGATTCACCTCGAGTAACGTCCCAGTCTGTGAGGTCACCGCCCGGGCGGTGCTTTCCGTGGGTGCGGGTCGCACTCCAATCGCTCCTGTCTCCCCAAATTTCCAGAAAACCAGATATCCTCCCACTCCAATCAGAAGAAATCCAGTGATCATCAAGCCAAATATCCACATGTCTTCGACATCCTCAATGGACAACTGAGAGAGGCAAACGATCCTCCAGACCTTCCAGGAATCTAGCGCATATCCCGCTGCGTGTTTCCCTTGAGGGCAAGTGGGAGCCCCCTCCTCCGTTCTCATCGTAGAAAAGATCTTATCAATCGCGTTGAATGACCAATTAATTAAATCAATTTCCAAAAAATAGGGATTTCCAGAAGAAATGCAGAGAAGTGCTCTGTAGGCAGACAGGACAAAGAGCCTTGGGAGGAAAAGATAAGGGAGCAAAAGCAGAAGCATCTGTTCTCTGCGAGAGCCGGATGAAGAAAGCCCTACATATATATCTACAGTATATCTACACTATATCTACACTATATCTACAGTATATCTACACTATATCTACAGTATATCTACACTATATCTACAGTATATCTACACTATATCTACACTATATCTACAGTATATCTACACTATATCTACAGTATATCTACACTATATCTACAGTATATCTACACTATAGCTACATTATATCTACATTATATCTACACTATATCTACACTACATCTACAGTATATCTACACTATATCTACACTATATCTATGTTTATGTTTATGTATTTAGCAGACGCTATTGTCCAAAGTGACTTACAAGTGATAATTGGCATGTTGCCCTTGAGGCTAACAACAACAACTTGACATCAATCATGGAGAGGAGGGAACAAAGGAGTGGACAGTAGAGAGGGGGGACGGGTGCAGGGAAGGTGCTAGTTAAGAAGATGCTCTCTGAAGAGCAGGGTCTTCAGGAGTTTCTTGAAAATTGAAAAGGAAGCCCCTGTTCTGGTAGTGCTTGGAAGGTCATTCCACATTTGTGGAACGATGCATGAGAAGAGTCTGGATTGTCCTGAGCATGGTGTAGGCACTGCTAGCCGACGATCTTGTGATGACCGGAGCAGCCGGGCCGAGACGTAAGCCTGTGCAAGAGGATTCAGGTAGATGGGAGCCGTACCATCTCGGACTTTGTATGCTAGTGTTAGCAATTTGAATTTGATGTGTGCTGCTAGCGGTAGCCAGTGGAGCTCAATGAACAGAGGGGTGACGTGTGCTCTTTAAGGCTGATTGAAGACCACACGCGCCGCTGTGTTCTGGGCCATTTGAAGAGGTCTCACAGTCCAGGCTGGAAGACCAGTTAGAAGGGCATTGCAGTAATTGAGGCGGGAGATGACAGTAGATTGCACCAGGAGCTGGGTGGCATGTTGTGTTAGGTATGGTCTGATCTTTCGTATGTTATACAGCACAAAGCAGCATGAACAAGCAACAGAGGCAACATGATCTTTAAAGGTCAGGTGTTCATCAATCACAACACCCAGATTTCGAACTGCCTTTGAAGGAGCCAGAGATAGAAAGTCATTTTGGATTGAGATATTGTGCTGTATGAATGATTTTGCTGGGATGGCAAGTAGTTCAGTTTTAGAGAGGTTGAGTTGGAGATGGTGGGATTTCATCCATTTTGATATGTCAGAGAGACAGTTTGATATTCGTGCTGAGACAGTGTGGTCGTCCGGTGGAAATGACAGATGGAGCTGGGTGTCGTCTGCATAGCAGTGGTAGGAGAAGCCATGTGATCGAATGATCTCACCCAGTGAGGTGGTGTATATGGCAAAGAGAAGAGGTCCTAGTACAGAGCCCTGGGGGACTCCTGTGGCAAGATGGTGCACGGTAGAGGATTGTCAAGCCAAGATACACTGAATGATCGTCCTGTGAGGTACAATTCAAACCAGGCGTGTGCTTTCTCTGTGATGCCCATGCTAGAGAGTGTGGACAAAAGGAAGCCATGGTTGACAGTGTCAAATGCAGCCGATAAGTCGAGCAGGATAAGCACTGAGGATTTGGCAGTCGCTCTTGCTTCTTTTAAGGATTCCATGACTGCAGTATCTACAGTATATCTACAGTATATCTAGGCATTTTCCACCTTTTTTCATGCTAAAATTAATTAATATCAGTTGATGCACACAATTAAAGAAGCTGAATCCGTTTTTGAACTCTGAATTTAACCAAGTCAGACTCCTTAAATAAAGTAAAAATGTAGTATTTACTCTGTTATTAGTGAAAGTAAAATACTTTTAAATGACATTCTTCAACAGCACAGGGCAAGCCAAGGATGTGCCTGGTTTTAAATCAGCTTCACTAAGGACAGATATCAGCCTGATTTATCCGTCTACCTCTAGTTCTGCACAAATAAAGACTAATGCATAACAAACAAGTCGGTTCTTCTGTTTCTTTTCTCCTCACAGGCGTGTTCGGATAACTCTGAGTTTCTAGAACCACTCTGAAGTTCTGATCCATTTAAAGAATCGGGGCTAATTAGTTTCCCACGAGAACCAGAACACACTGCTGGATCCACATGTGACATCTGAAGCTGTTTGACTAAACACTTCTGACAGCTTCTTAAAAAACCCATCTTTCAGCTTCTGGTTTCGATGGATCTGTTCCTGGTTCTTAAAGACTTTTACATTCTGCTCAGCTGCAGGACAAAATTCCGCTTGTCCTCCAATGTGCAGCAGGAACGTCAGATAGGACGGAGGGGAAACCCACCAGCGTTCCCTGCTTGGAGGTCTGCGTAGCCAGGTTCACGGGTTCCCGCTCTAGAGCCTGAAGCATGCGGAACATGTCCACGGTCAGCTCACTGAACTTCACCTGGAAAGAGAAACAAGTTCACCCTTTTAACTGCTGGAGGACACTAGTGGGAATCACTGGGATGGAGAGGATATGGGATACACTGGGAATCATCACTGAGGCAGCATTAGCTCAACAGGTTGAGCAGACGGATAACTTTATTGTCTGTTTTATAATAAAACAGAAATTCATCTTTGACAAGGTTTGATAAAAATAAAGTAACTATGTAAACCCGCTCCCAGTAGAACATCCTAGAAACACATTTAAAGTCTCTCTCTCTCACACACACACACACACACACACACACACACACACACACACACACACACACACACACACACACACACACACACACACACACACACACACACACACACACACACACACACACACACACACACACACACACACACACACACACGACACATCCAGCTTAACCAGTTCATGCTGTTTAAAGCAGTTACTGCAGATGGAACGAAGGACTTCTTGTTGTCGATGGCAGCAGAGTAAAGAGTTGGCTTAAGGGATGAGAGCAGAGCACATGTACAGAGGTGGATGGGGTGTTCTTAGCCTAGTGAACTAAACTAAATTCTTGCTTTGCAAAGAATGGTCTAGGCATGCTCCATTGGAACCTCAGCAGCTCCGACCAGGACTCTGGCTAGCCAATCACAGCTCTCTAGAGGGGTTTCAAACACATAAAGAGCTGTGATTGGTCCATAATGGTGGGCCAATCATAGTGCTCTATCTGCTTAGTGAACAAATCACAGAGCTTTATCCGCTTTGTGGGCCAATCAGGGCACTCTATACACCCACCGGTGGGATGATGCAACAGAGTGAAACAAGAGTATGTCACATTCATTGTCCAGTGGAATGCGGAGATCATTTGAAAGACAACGGTAGAACCCGCCCCACAACCGAGAGCCGTCAATGGAGCGTGGCCAGACTAAATAATACATTTATGTAGTCTGGCTTGCCAGGCTAGGGTGTTCTGGTTACTCTGCTGGCTGATTTATTTATGATCCTGATGGTGAGGAAGCTGAATCAGGCTGAACTATTATAGGTAAGAATGGATTCGATGAGAGATCGGTAAACCAGGGATAAAATGTCTGCTGATGTTACAAGCTCTTAGTTTCCCGATATGGGAAGGACTGGGAATCATCAGTAAGGGAACACCATGGGTTCTACCTGCATCATCGGGGAGGGGCGATATGGGACCTACTGGGATAACAATATTCCAACAAAACCAAACATACAGGATAAAGTTTTATATTCGATTCTAACGTTTCTCTAAGCCTGAAGGACTTTTGCGATGGGGACGTATTCAGATAAGAACCAGCAGGTCAGAACCTGGTTGTTACAGTTCCCGACGATCAGGGCATCAGCGAGGACCAGTTGTCCGACCACCATGCCTTGTTCCAGAGGAGGAGCGCTTCCCTCCAGCATCCTGTTGCTGGTGATGACCACAGAGTTGTTGTCGTTCAGAACCACCACAGGGTCAGCCTGTTTCACACAAGCAGGACTTTAGGAGACAGCAGACCCGTTTCAGGACCCAGACGGTCCTATTAAAAGTCTACTTACCACAATAAAAGCTGCCACTTCCTGTAAAACCAGATTCCACTCCAGCTGGTCCTCTGTGTTGAACCTCTGTGTGTATTCTTCTATTTCCTCTGATAACTCCTGCATGTTGGGGGTGAGAAAAAGTCTGATCCGTGTAAACTCCAGCGCTAAACGCTGAATCTTTCAGCATCACGTGGATCTCGAGTGAATAAATGCTAGATTATTCTTTACTTGTGTCGACAGAAACGGCTGTTTTACTCACAGATGTTCTCTAATTTTGGCTCTTGTGAGGCAAATGTAGTTAATGGGATAGAGTTTAAATATTTACAGTAATAATGGAACGTTTACTGGTTCTAATAGTTGCTACGGTAACGTGTCCTACCACCAGTGACTGGATGAATCTGTAGGTGTGCTGATTTGATGCCCAGAGGGCGGTTCCCACTATCGCCATCTTGTCTCTCTTGGAAATCCCTAAAATGGAGCTGTGAGGCTGGGGGCAGATGACTGGCACAAAACAAATTGACCCGATGTTGCTACGAGCTAATTGGGCTAACCAATGCTAATGGGGTTAGCAGGTGCTTTTAGCACAGCTGAGCCAATCTGCTACCCTCTGCCTTCTGGCTGAAACACTTTAACATGAGGCTGAGGCTGGGGGCTTCCCTGCTGTTAGCGCTAGCACTGACGGTTCATCTGACAATCGTCAATCAAAAGGACAAACTCCTAATCATTCATATTTTAAAGCTTTAATCACACGGAAACAGATGAGCTACAAAGACTTCACCCCCTCAGAGTTGTCATGACGATAAACTTCACCTATTAAACTGAGCCATCAGTGCTAGCAGCTAGCCCCGCTGCATGCTCCAGGGAAAGACTCGGCCTCCTGCAACTGCGGTTTTTCAGCTAGAAGCACCTGCCAACGTCCGTTAGCTCGTAGCTACATCGGCTCAGGTTTTGGTTTGTGTCAATCATCTGCCCCCACCCTCACAACCGAGGGTGATGAGACTTACACAGCCAAGATGGCGGTGGTGGGAGCCGCCTACTGGGCTTCAGGTCAGCTCTTCAGAAACCTACAGGTGATGGTGTGGAGGGTTGGTCCATCTTACATACAGTCAGTGGTTGGGACACAAACATGAAACAGCCATCAGTAGGGCTGCAACAACGAATCGATAAATTCGATGAAAATCGATTACTAAAAGCGTTGGCAACGAATCGCGTCATTGATTCGTTGTGTTGCGCAACTCTTCCAACCCCCCACCCCACCCCCCCGGCCGCCGTTGCACACAGACCGGAAGCAAGTCAGATCAGCGCGAGGGACTAGCCAGCAGAAGCAGCGAGACCCAAAAAAGTATAAACTTTTAAAGTTTGGGAGCATTTTCAGTTAAATCAGGCGAAGACATTCGTTACCTGCAACGCTTGTAGGTCAGACTTAGCGTGGCACGGGAGTACCACAGTGATGATGCGAATCATCAGCGAGGAAGGAGAGAGCTCGGTGTCCGGGTAAGTTAAAAACTTTTCAAAAGTGATTCACCCAAGCCCCGGATTATTACACAGGCTAGACATGCCCTAAGCTCGTAAAAAAAAGTCTATAAAATCGTAAGCGCGACGCTATTAGATAAACGGGGGAGGGGGGTGGGGGGACTCGCGCTGCTGCGAACCGGTTCCGCCGTCACATTCCCATAGAAACTGGTTGATTACACCAGGGCCAGACTACTAGCACCACAATGTCCTCAGAAGCGAAAACGCTTTTAAAAGGGAGGGAGGAGTACTAACTCTCGCTGCAGGCGTGTTGTGTGAGAGTGTAGTTATATACTGGTTAATGTATTTTTGGGTTCAGTTGCTTTCATGTGGCCTAATGTGAGTCTATTTGGGATCATTGGAATGATCAGCAGCATTTCTTGATGTGACTTTATGGCAGTTGCCCAGGGCATCATCGCAAGGAGGATGGCATTCATTTACTTTTGTTTTATTTGGTATTTTTTCAGTCATTTTTGGAAATAGTGATTAATTTTGATTAATTCACAGCCAATGTTTAATTACATTTAAAAATTAGTTGTTTGACATCCCCAGTTATAATAAATGTCTACAGATGAGATCAAACAAAACAGATGAGAATTAGCCTTAAGCTGTTTAACTTGGGTCAAGCATTTTAGGTCACAGATAGGTGTAGCTTAGGGTCTCTGTCTATACACCTTATAAGACAATTTAGGTGATGGCATGTTGTTTTTCTGCTATTGAACTGTTTTCTAATAATGTTGTGTTTAATAAAGTGAAGGAAGGAGAGAAATAATGTTTCCCTAGCAGTTTTTAAAAATGTCCCCATGTAATCCGATTAATCGATTAATCGTGTCGAGACCCCATCCGATTCATCGATTATCCAAATAATCGTTTGTTGCAGCCCTAGCCATCAGCTACTTCTGGGACGGCCGACGTCCTCCATACCTTCACCAGAACTTTAACCAGGTCCATCTTGTTGAGCAGCAAGCACACCACGATGTAGCGGGCGTAGTACCGAAGCTTCTTCACCACGAGCTCAGGCCTGATGGAGACGGGACATTAAAGAACTACTCGAACCGTGTCTCTGCTGAGGATGCTGAGTGCTGGACGTTACCTGTCCTCCTTGTTGACCTGATAGTAGTAGGAGCGCTGGCGGATGGCTGAGTAGAAGGAAAACGCTTCGTTCAGATAACTGGTTTCTGACGTCCGGAGGCTGGAAAGACCAAAGAGAAACAGATGGAGGTCAGAGGTCAAACGCCTGGAGATGAGCAAATATGAAACAATGCGACCTCAGAGTTCATGACGGGTCAGCAGAACTGGATCAGCTGATCTGAATTAGCTCCAACATGCTGATCCGGAGAGGCCCATACACAAGAAGAAACCCACAGGTCTACTCCACTGCTGGGATTTAAACCCGCAACCTTCTGGCTCATTAAAGCTGTAATAGTAGAAGCTAGGTTTTCAACGCACACGCGGTCATGGAACACTCACCCCTCATGTTGGCTATCATCCCTAGGCCACACCCCCTGATAAGGGAATCGGCAGAGTCGGGGGAAAGAAGCTAGCGCTAAACATCAGTCTCCGTTTTCTAGGTCCTAACGTCTTTTGTTGTTCGTAACTTCAGACGGTGATTTTCTTTGTGGGACTCTGGTAGTTTGTCCTAAAGCTGAAGCGGTAGCAGCCGGCTGTTTCTCCAACTCTGATGTTACTGAGTGGAGAACCTCTCACACCAGTGGTGTTCTGCTGCTGTAGACGTGAGGGAAGTGAGACTGATAACCGATGGTCCAATGGCTGCTTTTGGTCTGAAACATGTTATTGGTGGAGGTTTGGACAAACGAGGAAGAACCACTTTATTATTATTATTATAATTACTTATTTCCACAACACATATACAGCTATAATGAAACAAATGTTTTACAGGTTCCACATCATGCTGCTTTAAACTTCTGAGATCAAAGGCAGGCTGAGTGTACGATCAAAGGTTGCCACTGATGATCTAATCCATGATGTCAGAGGTCTACAGAAACATCTGGACCCAAACTAAGTCGAAGATCCTTCATCAAGAAACAGAAGGAAGGGAGCTGAAGGTTCTAGACTCACCCAGGCCAACTCCAGACCTGCACAGGATACTAAAAAACACACACACACATGCACACACACACACATCACTGCTCACTTGAAGAACCGGTGCCCTCTACTTTGGAGGGGTGGAGTACTCACTAGTAATGGTAGTACAGCTGTCCGATCTTCGATGCCACCTCCCCAATCTGCCACCTCTTCAGGCCGTACCTCGAATCCAGAACCTGCCTGTCAGTAACCATGGAAACACAAGACTAAGCACTAGAAGCCAGGAAGTTCCTCTCTGTGTGTTTGCAGGACGGTTCTGCAGATGTTGGATCAGGAGGTGGAGACAGTTGGGAATAACCTGTGCTGCTGCTGGAACTTCCACAGCTTGGTGTAGACGTCAAACGTCCTCCCAAAGTAGGACTGCCACTGCTTGTGTCCATACTGGGGAAGATCCCTGCATCCCAGGAGAAGGAAGAGGAGAGAGAAGGTCACTTAAAGGCCGGCTTAGGGAACCATTTCCTGCTCCTTACACGATGAAAATGTTAAGAGACATCCCACCCCAGCCGCTCAGCAGGAAGCTCCGGCTGCTCCATGTGTTCAATCCGTCGGTTTGCACTTTCAGAGCTTGTTGTGATGTCAGCTGCAACTCACAACACTTCCAGACCGGTTCTTTCCAATTTTTTTTGACTTGTCGACCCCTTGCGCTGTTTTCTCACCACGAGCACCCCTTTAGTCAGCCGTGTTGATGGTTCCCCAAAAGCAGGACGTACAATTGATTACTAAATAGCAATCATTTCCTTAAATCTCCTCAACGCTGAACCACGTCTCACTTCCTGTCTGACTCAGGTGAGCTCTTTAACATGCAGGGTCCAGACTCCACGTGGAAACTGTCTGGAGCTCTGCATCTGGATCCGTACCACAGCTGGTGTAAATGTTCTGACTGGACTCAGTGATGTCTGATCCGTGTGAAACTGGACAGCATCTAATCTGCATTTGGTGTGAACGAGGCTTCAGGCTCTCTCAGTAGCAGCTGCAGCCCTTTTAGAAAAGGAGCTTATTATAATAAAACCTGTTGGAATTTCACCAACCTGCACACACCTGTGTTACAACGTGTCCTTTGTTTTAAAAGCATCCCCGGTTGTAACACAAACACAAAAATCATCATAAAATGAATAAAGATGAAGATAAATGAATAAAATACAAGCTAAATGTGATGAAAACACTGGTGGGGATGAGCTACGATGTAGCCACAGCTGCCCTGGGGTGCACTGACAGAGGCGAGGCTGCCGAGCACTGGCGCCACCGGTCCCTCTGATCCCAACCAGCAGGCAAGGGGGGTTAAGTGTCTGGCCCAAGGACACAACGGCAGCGAGAGACTGAGCGGGACTCGAACCTGCAACCTTCTGATTACAGGGCGAGCACTTAGCTCCTGTACCACCATCGCCCCAAAACACAAAAAAACCCACAAATTTATAAATAGTTTGAACTGAAGTGCAAAATGTAAAAACAGAAATAAATAAATAAAAATTTCTTCCTGATTCATTAGATCATTTTTCATGTTTTTCATTTTCTCACAGAAGTTTAGCTTCTCTAGGGAATAACTGCAGGTAAAATTAAAGCTGCAAGCAGCGTCGTTCGGCCCTCGCAGCTCCTCGCCGCTCGACCACCCCAACACCAGAAACCGCGAACGGTCTCCTCGTCCGCACCTCACCCTGACTCAGCATCCCCTCTGAGCCCACCAATAAATTGCAAATATAACCACTAGGGGATACTCTATCTTTACCACACTGGTGGTGTGATGACACAGACCAAGTTTAACGCTATTCTGAACACATTTTTTGAAGTCACTAAAGGTTAAAGTTATCTAGGGGGCGCTGTGACCAACTACATAAAAATCCCATTGAGGTCCTCTTAGGGAGTCAAAGTGTTAGTTTGGCATCAATCAGACGTTGCGTGTGCTTTCTAGAGCCAAAGAGCTGAAAGGGGGCGGAGCTAAAGGGATTTGAACCAACAACCACATCAGTGTTGTAAAGAATGGGTCGTTTACATCTTACTTATGAACCATAAAATGTGTGATTCCATAGAAATATGAAATATCAATCCGATGGATCTTTGACTATTTCAACCAGAAGATCGGAACTTTTCATTGCAGGGATTAAGCGACACTTCGTATTAACTCAGAGGAAAGAGAGAGAGTCGGGTTTAAAATAGTTAAAAATTTTATTTCTACACAATTTAAACAAGACTAACTTTAACACTCTGTGTACTGATGGACTAAGGTGGAGTGAGACGTGATGAATGATGATGGTGTGTGTGTGGAATGTTATTATCAGAACCAGCGGATCCGGAGAAGCAGTCAGTTCTGAGTGGGAGTGAATGTCTCGCTCTAAACTTTAGTAGGAGATTTATAACACACATGAAACGCCATCTGTCGGTCTACGTACCCCAGGGGAAGCCTCCGTTAGATCCAGAATGCCGAGGTCCTCGTGGACCCTCCTTGGTACCGAAGCCGGTAGAAAAGCAGCGGTGCCGACCAAACTAGTCTTGGAATGCTCCCAGGTCACGACAGGTTATCACTGGCGTCTCCGAGACCCTGAAGGGGTCGTGAGGTTCAGCTTTTATTCTGAAGGAACCGTTGCGGTCAGGTGTCACTTGCAACAGATTTTATCCAGCTTGTCTGAGGTTCTTTATGACTGAAGAGGAAGTCCGGATGGCCTGTCCGACACTTCTATAGTACGCTTTGAACTCAAGGAAAGGTGGCGTGGAATAGGTTTTATAATTGTCATATTTTGGTTTACTGGCGAATCAGAATTTGACATGCAAAAGAGGGTTTATATACAAACACCACAGATAACCACACCTAGCCAGAAACGAAGGTTCTGATTGGATCAGACAAAGGAAATGTGTCGTGTGGCCTTTAGCATTACATGTCAGTGTCTAGTGCAAATGTCCAAGATTATAATAACTTGTAAAATACTACTGATCACAGGATTATAATATCACGTAATTTACATTGTCATTTCACAGACTGATTGAACATTGGGCTCACGTTATTATTGGTAATTAACAAAGTTGTTGATTATGTATTTATCAAAATAATTCTTCGTCTTCATCTTGACAGAGGTGAAGCAGTTCAGATGAGCAGAGTGCATGAAAGACCTTGGCCACTATCTCATGTAGATTAGGCTGTCAGAGACTTTATGTGTCTGCTTGAGCAGATGCAGCAGATCATGACCTTTAGGTCAAAAACAGGACATTCATGACGCTACAATGTGTTTGGTGCAGTCACGTGATGACACAAGCCAAGTATAATGCCATTCTGACCTTGTCTTTAGAAGTTAATAAAGTTTGAACCCATCTAGGGGGCGCTGTGACCATTTACAACTAAATCACATAGAGATCATCTTTGGTCATCAAAGATGGTTTTCTGTTAATTTGGCATCAATCAAACGTTGCATGGGTCATCTAGTGCCAAAAGGCTGTAAGTGGGCAGAGTTAAAGTGATCTGAACGAGTGAGCACATACATGTGTGGATTGCAGTTGTGTGATGACTCCCACCGTGTTTGATATAGTTTGGAGCTTTTTTGCAGAAGTTACAAAGGTTTTATTGTATCTAGGGGGCACTGTCCCAAATTTAGGAAAATATCCCATGAAGCAGTTTGTAGGTTGATGACAGTCATTTGTGTGCAGTTTGGTGTGAACTGCATCATGCATGTGTTATTCAGGGCCAAATATCTGTCGGTGGCAGAGCTAAAGCGATATCAACCAATGACCACGGGATTGTGTTGGGTGCCTTTGTGTGATGACATATTGCAAGTTTGGTGCAGTTGTGACCTCGTCTGTAGGAGTTATTACAGTTTTAAAGGTATGTAGGGGGCGCTGTGGTGATATTAGACAACGGTCACCAACCGTTTGTGCCTCATTGGCTAAAGGGCATGATTGTTGATTGCCATGTTCAGTCTCGTGCAGATCAGAGGCTGTTTGAGGAAGTTACAGTCAAACGTAAGGTCACGGCGTCATGCCAGAATTCGCCATGGCATCAAAGCCCCTCCCTTTCTGGAAAGCTATCAGAACTGAATGGTCATTACAGCATCATGAAGTCAGTGCATGACCTTAGTGTCATGTTGACTAAATTAGAGGGGACAAATATGGGCATTTCACCATAAAACAATCGACTTCCTGTTGTCAGGGGGCGGGGCTTAGGTGATGTCAGCTGTCCACATTGTCACCGTCTTAAGATGTGGTCAGTGATCACACACACAAAGTTTGATATGGATCTGATCATGCACATGGGAGTTATTACATCAAGTAACGTAATGGCAAAAGGTCAAAGTTTGAGGCTTAGCCACGCCCACACCTTTCAACTTTTGAAAAATCCAATAGTTGAATTTTTCCCCTATGTCTTAAGAGTATATATCAGAAGTGTGAAGGCGATTGGTGAAAAGGGCGATGGGGCATCACGGTCCAAACTACGTGTGCGAAAACCACTAAATTGAGTACTTGGACCAAAATGGCCGACCTCCTGTGCGACTTTGCTCTTGGCTCCAGGAGACTTTTTTGTAGGTCCTGATACACTACATTAGTGTACAAAATTTCATAATCCTCAGTCAAAGCATGGCTTGGGGCTGACAGTTTAAATGGTTCTAGGGGCGCTTTTTCAGAAAATAGGACACGCCCACAAACCTATCACGTCCTGTTGGTGATCTGACTAGGATCACTCACCAGAGAATCCGTAGCGATTTCACGATAACTGAGGAAATGAGGGTCAAACTTATTTCCATGGTGTGATGGGGAATTTCGCCATGCTCCCAAAGCCCCGCCATTTTTTGAAACCTGCCAGTACTGGAGACCAAGTGACCTCAACTTGTCTGCTGCTATTTGCCAGAGATTGCTGGTGATTGGGTGAAAGGAGTCCAATAGGAAGCTGTGAAAAAAAGAGTGGCATGGCAACAGGTCAAAGTTTGAGGCTTAGCCACGCCCACACCTTTCACCTTTTGAAAAATCTGACGGTTAAATTTCTTCCCCTTTGTCTTAAGAGTCTATAGCAGAAGTTTGAAGGCGATCGGTGAAAAGGGCGATGGGGCATCACTTTCCAAACGATGTGTGCGAAAACCTCTAAATCGAGTACTTGGGCCAAAATGGCCGACTTCCTGTGCAACATTGACCTTGGCTCCAAGAGACTTTTTTGTAGGTCCTAAGGCACTACATTAGTGTACCAAATTTCGTAGTTCTCAATTAAAGCACGGCTTGGGGCTGACTGTTTTAATGGTTCTGGGGGCACTTTTTCAGAAAATAGGCCATGCCCACAACCTATCACGTTCATTTCTATTGGGGATCAGACTAGGATCACTCACCATAGATTTCGTGGCGATATCATGATAACTGAGGAATTGAGAGGCAAACGTATTTACATGGCATAATGACGAATTTTGCCATGCTCCCAAAGCCCTGCCATTTTTTGAAACCTGCCAGTACTGGAGACCAAATGACCTCAACTTGTCTGCTGCTATTTGTCAGAGATTACTGGTGATTGGGTGAAAGGAGTCCAATAGGGAGCTGTGAAAAAAAGAGTGGCATGGCGACAGGTCAAAGTTTGACGCTTAGCCACGCCCACACCTTTCAACTTTTGAAAAATCCAACGGTTGAATTTTTTTCCCCTATAGCTTAAGAGTATATAGGAGAAGTTTGAAGGTGATCGGTGAAAAGGGCAACGAGGCATCATTCTCCAAAGAACGTGTTCAAAAACCACTAAATCGAGTACTGGGACCAAAATGGCCGACCTCCTGTGCGACTGTGCGCTGGGTCCAAGAAACGTTTTTGTAAGTCCTGAGACACCACATTAGTGTACCACATTTCGTAATCCTCAGTCAAAGCGTGGCTTGGGGATGACAATTTTAATGGTCCTAGGGGCGCTATTTAAGAAAATAGGCCACGCCCACCGGATTTTCACAACAGATTTTTTTGGGGGGCCATACTAGGATTGCTCACCAGAAGTTTCATGGTGGTATCTTTAGAAATGACTTAATGGGAGGCAAACATATGGCCACGACGGTACGCCTGACTTCGCCGTGCCGCCACAGCCCCACCCTGTTTTGAAAACTCCCATAAAGTGACGCCAAGAAACCCCCACTTGTCAAGTTACCAGCTACAAATTTGCGGTCATTAAGTGAAATGGGGCGATTTGGGACCTATCACAGTAAAACTTGACCTTTTTGGTCCTGAGGGGGCGGAGCTTGTGTGCCGTCATCATCCGACCATTCAATTTAATTTGTGGCTGGATGTCGAATGACCACAGAAATTTTTGTTACTCTACTCTATTCGAGTATGAAGTTATAGCCATTTATATTTTTTTTGGCGAGTAGTCGAAATTCGAGGCCTGGCCACGCCCCCTCAGCTTATACGAAAAGTCAGTTTTATTTTTTCTGTTTGATCGCCCGTCCCTTCTGAGCAATTTCCCACAACTTTCGAGACGATCGAGCGAAAAATGATCCGAGTAAATCAATCAGAAGCGGACCCTAGACATAACCAAAACGGGGTCAAAAACTCCACTTCAAACCAAAATGGCCGCCTTCCTGTTTGACGTTGAGCATGGTTGCAAGAGACTTTTCTGTGCGGACTGTTGAGTACTACAAGTGTACAAAATTTCATAACTGTACGACAAACTATGTTTAAAGAGCAAGTCACCCCCAAATCACATTTTTTTGCTGATAAAACTATATAAAGGAATGTCTAATCATGCTACAGACACGTGTAGTCAATAATTTGGCAGTTCATTGCATCTTGGTTAAAATTAAAATATTCTGCCTAAAACTGTCAGTGTTGCACCGTCGTCAGGGAAAAATTCTGCACTGTATTTGAATTTAAATCTGCCACCGCTATTGGCTAAGAGGTATGCTATGATGTCATCTGGTATATTACGATGTCATAATGCCATTGTGAGCCTATGTGTGTGTGTATTTGTTAGCGGCTCCGCCCTCTCGGTCTGCCAAGCAACAGCATTTGTTGCATTTTTCAAACATGAAGTGGGAGTGAAGTAAGTTTCTTGTAGGGGGTGACTTGCTCTTTAAGGAGGGGGGTATTTTTCACAGTCTAGGGGGCGCTGTGGAGCAAGTCTACTTGCGGTTTTTTGGGCCTCCAAAAAGCCAATTTACTTGGCGGAAGAAAAATAAACAGAGCAGATACAATAGGCCATCGCAGCGCTTTCGCTGCTCGGGCCTAATAAAGCTTTGCTACTTTTTATTATAGGTTTATTTTTTTTCCCAGCCTCTGGTGGAGCGACGCTCTGATCAGCTGGTATGGGGTCAGAGGTCAGACCCGCGATGCAGATGGAATTAGTTCAAACTCAATCACAGGGGATGTCCGAAACTTTAGAAGCCAGCGTGTTTATGGCGTGTTAAACAACAAACAGCATTTAGGGTAATTAGTTATTAACACAGATAAAATTTTACTGTTGCCAGAATTATTTACTGAGGGTGTTTCTCTGTTCAACATCAGACTCCTGAAACTCAAACTAGGTCTGTATAACCGATGTTACACCCCCCCCGTCTACTTTACAAACACTCCATCAGTCCAAAGCTGATGCAGCTTGACAAAATTCATGCACAGGTGGCCTGAACTGATCATTGATAATATGATATCAAGCATTTATTACCATAAAATGCTTTACTTTATTCATTAAATATAACTCATCCCAGCCCAAAGCTGGTATCTACCAGCGCATCATCTGGGTGATGAAGTACTCGTTTTTCTGCGTAACCCCGGTAACGCGCTCACGGCCCACTGGGGGTTTGAATCAAACTAGTCAGAACCAAAAGGACACATCCAGAACCGGGGCCGGTTCTGACCCAAAACACCCTGAAACTAAATACCAAAACCTTCTGGACAGAATGTCTGGTCCTGGTTCTGGTTGGTTGGACTCTTATTGACTCAGAGAGCTGTCAATCACATGCTGATTATGCAAGATGGCGTTTCCATGGAAACCACTGACACTGACCTTAGCCCATTGAAGAGTTGTTTGGACTTGTCCAGCAGGTAGCAGAAGTCGGTGACGGTCTTCCTGTCTCCTAAAGGAATGTCCTCCTCGGCCTCCGCTCCAGTCATGACACTGACCTTTGACCCCTGGTCACAAACGACATCACACTCAGGAATACCGGTCAGAGGTGGAACCCTAGAGAAGCTGATGCAGAACACTGTTAAACCATCATCAGGATGTTCTACGTCCTGCGTTTGTCAGCTGGAGGTTCTGCGCGTCTACAGGTGTCCTACTTAGAGATTGAGGAACCGGGTCACATAACGATTCTCTTTTAGGTCGACCTGCATGTCCCAGATTCCTCTCTCTCTGTTCTGATTCTACAATCAAGCCGAGCAGCCCAGTCGGGTCAGAGCGCTCCGCTGAAGCTAGGAAAAGTTCGGATATTAGAACCCAAGCATTCCATCCTGGGAGTGGACTTCAAATCCTTCTGATTGGCTGAGAGAACCTAGCAGAGCAATGAGATCATACCAGTACCGACAGATCTGCAGTGATAACAGGACGGGACCGAAGGCCATCGGTTCTGGACGCCACGTGGAGAAGAGGAGAAAAATGTCTGAAATTAGCAAACATCCATCTTCCAGGACCACAGAAGAAGGGCTGGACGTGGAGAAAGCCATCAAGAATCTGGTCATGTGGTCAGTAGCAGCTGTGCTGGGGAAGAAGAGGTTCAGCTGCGGCGTCGTGACACTTCAGATTTGTAGCTATTTTAATTACCATAAATCTCAGATTATGTGACAGACAAACCATACCACTTCATTTATACAGCACGTTTAAAAGTACCGCGTGAGAGCCGACCGACGTGCTGCACAGGCAGGTTCTTTAAAGAGCAAGTCACCCCCTGCCAGAGTACTACTCCACTCCCACTTCCTGTTTGAAAAATGCAACAAACGCTGTTGTCTGGCAGACCGAGAGGGCGGAGTCGCTAATAAACACACACACACACACACACACACACACACACACACACACACACACACACACACACACACACACACACACACACACACACACACACACACACACAGGCTTACAATGACATAGTGACATCATAACGTACCAGCTAACGTCATAGGGTACCTCTTAGCCAATAGCAGTGGCAGATTTGAATTCAAATGCAGTGCAAAGTTTTTACCTGACGACGGTGCAGCACTGTCAGTTTTAGGCAAAATTTTTTAATTTTAACTAAGATGCACTAAAGCACCAAATTACTGACTACATGCGTCTGAGATTCATTTATTTAGTTTATCAGCAGAAAAGGTTGATTTGGGGGTGTCTTGCTCTTAAAAAACAAAATAAGACTAAAACACCAATGAAAGTAAAACCATCAATGCAGAGCAGCAAACGCAAATAAAAGAAGCAAAAACAATAAGCACAACAAACGAGTCGCTGGCTAAATGCCAAGCCACAGAATAAATCTTTAAATGAGATTTTAAAAGAGCCAGAGAGGACGCCTGCCTAACCGTAATGGGAGGGAATTCCAGAGAATGGGAACATCAAATGCACGTTAAGCCCGTGATTGGTAGGACATCTGGGGAGAGGAAAGTAGCAGGAGATCAGCTGACCTCAACATGTGCATGGGAACAGAGTACGTAGTGGAAACTCACATCGTTATTTATCATTTAAAGGGATACTTAGCAGTTCTGCTTGCTTTTAGCTCCCCCTGGTGGCCGTTATTAATTCTCTGTGTTTAAACTGAAACAAAACTTTTCTCCTCGCTGTGCGTTCGTCTTTTTAACACCGTAATCTAACAGCCGAAATGTCTCCCAGCCTTACCTTTTCAGATTGACATTCCGGAATATGTGTAAACAATTCAATCCGGTTTTTAACCGGAACTGTGTTTTCAGACACACCACTTTCGCACCGGAACTTGTCCTTTCGGCTGCCTTCACACAGCAGGGAAAAGTTCCAGATGTCCGGGGGGGGGGGGGGGGGGGGGGGGGGGGGGGGGACTTATGTTAAGCATAATTCTGCGCACACGAAGACGCATAAGACCTGGATGATGGCGCTCAATGGTTAAAGGAATCACGGAAGCGGTGTGATGCGCTCCGTCGCGGGTCTAGACGGTACCGTATGAGGTGAGCTGCCATGGTTTGCCGCATGCTACAGGAGCGCTCTATCTAGGAGCGCACAACGTCCCCCGGTCCCCTCCTCCTCCCGCTCCTCCCTGTTTGGAACTTGACCTCATTAGTCTGAAGCAGCCACCTTGTCCGTAACAAGTCCGGACCTGTTACTAGGGGCTTTGTCCGGTTTAATTACGGAAAAGGTTATCCGGATGTTTGTATTCAGACACAAAGAATCTATATATATCTATATATCTATATCTATATATATATATATATGCTAATTTTTGAGAAGGATCTGTATATACATATATAAATACATACACACACATACAGGCCCTTCTCAAAAAATTTGCATATTGTGATGAAGTTCATTATTTTCTGTAATGTACTGATAAACATTAGACTTTCATTTATATTAGATTCATTACACACAACTGAAGTAGTACAAGCCTTTTATTGTTTCTAATATTGATGATTTTGGCATACAGCTCATAAAAACCCAAAATTCCTATCAAAAAATTTGCATATCATGAAAAGGTTCTCTAAACAAGCTATTAACCTAATCATCTGAATCGACTAATTAGCTCTAAACACCTGCAAAAGATTCCTGAGGCTTTTAAAATCTCCCAGCCTGGTTCATTACTCAAAACCGCAATCATGGGTAAGACTGCCGACCTGACTGCTGTCCAGAAGGCCATCATTGACACCCTCAAGCAACAGGGTAAGACACAGAAAGACATTTATGATTGAATAGGCTGTTCCCAGAGTGCTGTATCAAGGCACCTCAGTGGGAAGTCTGTGGGAAGGAAAAAGTGTGGCAGAAAACGCTGCACAACGAGAAGAGGTGACCGGACCCTGAGGAAGATTGTGGAGAAGGGACGATTCCAGACCCTGTGGAAGCAGTGGACTGAGTCTGGAGTAGAAACACCCAGAGCCACCGTGTACAGGTGTGTGCAGGAAATGGGCTACAGGTGCCACATTCCCCAGGTCAAGCCACATTTGAACCAGAATCAGCGGCAGGAGCGCCTGACCTGGACTACAGAGAAGCAGCACTGGACTGTTGCTCAGTGGTCCAAAGTACTTTTTTCGGATGAAAGCATAATTTGCATGTCATTCGGAAATCAAGGTGCCAGAGTCTGGAGGAAGTCTGGGCAGAGGGAAATGCAAAAATGCCTGAAGTCCAGTGTCAGGTACCCACAGTCAGTGATGGTCTGGGGTGCCATGTCAGCTGCTGGTGTTGGTCCACTGTGTTTTATCAAGGGCAGGGTCAATGCAGCTAGCTGTCAGGAGATTTTGGAGCACTTCATGCTTCCATCTGCTGAAAAGCTTTATGGAGATGAAGATTTCATTTTTCAGCACGACCTGGCACCTGCTCACAGTGCCAAACAAACTGGTAAATGGTTTACTGACCATGGTATTACTGTGCTCAATTGGCCTGCCAACTCTCCTGACCTGAACCCCGTAGAGAATCTGTGGGATATTGGGAAGAGAAAGTTGAGATACAAGACCCAACGCTCTGGATGAGCTTAAGGCCGCTATCGAAGCATCCTGGGCCTCCATAACACCTCAGCAGTGCCAAAGGCTGGTTGCCTCCATGCCACGCCGCATTGAAGCAGTCATTTCTGCTAAAGGATTCCCGACCAAGTATTGAGTGCATAACTGAACAAAATTATTTGAAGGTTGACTTTTTTTGTATTAAAAACACTTTTCTCTTATTTGTCGGATGAAATATGCTAATTATTTGAGATAGGAATTTTGGGTTTTTATGAGCTGTATGCCAAAATCATCAATATTAGAAACAATAAAAGGCTTGAACTACTTCAGTTGTGTGTAATGAATCTAATATACATGAAAGTCTGATGTTTATCAGTACATTACAGACAATAATTAACTATCACAATGTGCTAATTATTTGAGAAGGACCTGTATGTGTGTGTGTGTGTGTGTATATATATATATATATATATATATATATATATATATATATATATACAGAGGCGGAGCTGGCCTAAATGGCGCCCTGTGCGAGATCCCCCTGTGACCCCCCCCCCCCCCCCCCCCCCCCCCCACACACACACACACACACACACACACACAAGAAAAAACATTACACCTACAACTTTGTTTCAAATTGCGTGGAGTGTATTATATATAACAACGTTTGCTGACTGAATACAACATCCAGCTCCTGGCCACCTTCTCACCACTTGTCAAAGTTCTACTGAAATAGACACACTTAACGCAACATGATGGCATCATCGACTTGTACAGTACAGATGTGCTGAAAGGCGAGAGTCTCAACTTTCAGCTAAAAAAAGAACGCTCTAGCTATTATAGTTTTTATTTTATGGCAGTTTTCAGTTTAAACGGGATCTTACTAGCAGGGCACCTCCAGCAGCCCGCTGCCGCTTCGTTTTTCATGGGGTAAATAATAGCTCATTTCCCGATTCCAAAAAGAAAGAATGGGCCTACCAGCTCGCCACTTCAATATGAAGAAGATCAGTTCAACATGGGGGGAAAAAACCTGACCTGTAGGCCAGAGAAACGTTCATTAGCACATCAAGTTCGATTCAGTTTACCGGTAAACATATCACGAATGTACAACAGGTCAATTATTAATCATCTTGGCTACGTAGCTTAATCTATACATTCCAGTAGCGTTTGCTACAAACAAATACAAAAACAACAATAAAGGAAAGCAACTGTCTGACAGACAACATAGCCGAATTCAAGGCAACACATAACAATAATCATTCGATTGCTCTTGGTTTTAAGTTAAGCCCATTAAAGTGCTTAAGTAAATAAAAGTGTTTCAAAAACAGCGTTTTTGAACCGGAGTTCTGCTCGCGGTGGGAACTCCGCCGAACAGGGTCATTTTTTATAGCGAAAACGATCGACTGGTCACTGACAAGTAAAAGGGTGTTATTGGTAGATGTTAAGAACACTTACCGCTGAGGTAAAATGAGAGTATAAATGAATTGAGGGGAGAAAAACGCTTTGTTTTTAGCCCGGACGTATTCCCCCACAGCCAGCTTTCATTGTTGCCGCGACGTGGAAGGAGCCAATTAGGAGAGGGACCTCACATCAGCTGACGTGGGTCATGTGACAGGGAGTAGTTGATATGGGTTACACTTTGTTGTGCTTTTATTACAGAAATAGTATTATTATCATCACTATTATTAAGAACATGCGATTTCTATGTTTTGTTTATGTATTGGTTGATGCTTAAAAAAATTTTTTTAGAAGAAAAAAAAAAAAAGGAAATTAAATGCCGCCCCCTGCAGACTGCCGCCCTGTTCGGCCGCACATATTGCACATATCAAGCTCCGCCACTGTATATATATACGCACACACACATATACATGTGTGTGCGCGCATATATACATGCGTGTATACATGTACAGACAAATGTGTGTATGTCTATATTTAAACATGCATTAATGTTTAAGATAAACTGCTTCCGTTTCATTTATTTAAGCCTTTAAACGCTTCAATTCTAATGATTTCATTAATAATTAAAATTCCAGCTTCCACCAGAACCAGCTGGATTCATAATTATTCATATTTTAGTAAATATTTCTGAATGATTTCAGAACAAACGTGAATGGTATTTCTAAGCTGCTTCTAATAAAAGAAAACGCTGTGTTGTTCCAACAAACCGCTGCAGCACGGAATTCCAGACGGGATGAAACCGGGAATTCTCAGCCAGAAGACGGGAGACGATGCGACTAAATGAGATGAAGCTGTAAGAGTCCGGCGGGTTAGATCACGGATCCGGACTGCAGGTATTTGTGGGAGGGCGTGAGTCCTGACTGGATCAAAGATGAGGAACATCTGGATGAGCAGCAGAACCTCCTCTAGGTCTCTTACCGCCGCAGCTGGAGATGAAGAGCAGCAGACGAACCGCGGAGATTCTCCTCACCACAAACCGTGAAGCCAGTTCTTTCACATCCCACTGGGTCAGGGTTCCGCCAGCAGCGAACGGGAGCCGCCGTTAGCCTGAGGGGCTGAGTGCCGCGGAGACCGGAAGAGGCTGCCGCTAGCTGCATCCGGGTCAAACCGTCACAATAAAAGCCTCTGTACAGCAGCAGCCAAAAGATCCCCGCTGCAGACTGGTAATGGGCGGGGCTAGTCAGTAGGCGGAGTTCGGCTCTTCCATTATCAAATACCACAGGCTGTCTGGGGTGGGCTCGGATATTTACTTCCTACTTTCATGCTTTAGGATTATTACTTTTCTTTCTTCCACATCAGGTGCCTGAGACCTGCTGGTGTTGCAACAACTGCCACGTCCACCGGACATCCTGCAGCCGGGGTACTAGTCAAACTAAAACCGACCTTGTGGCTCCAGCTACTCTTAAGAACTTGTAGAGATACTTTGTTGTGTTTCTCACAAACGTGAACCAAAATTACTTCCACCTCCTGGTTTCAGTCCACACTGGAGAGTAGAGCGCTACACTGTCTGCCTTCTTCAGGAGCAGGAGTCACAGAGGCAGCTGGGTTAACCCGTTTTCTGACACCATCATTAAGTCACTCAAATCAGTGAAAGACATTTTATTCAGATTATAAAACAGAAAGGAGGCGAAACGTTTTCTACACCAGTGGAGACGTGTTGGTAGCCACACATCCCATCACACACCAGGCTCAGCGGGACTCAAAAGCTGTTTAAACAAATAAATTAAAAGGATAAGAATTAAGGCAGCATGTTTCGGGACGGGCTCAGAACTCCACTTCCCAAGATGTTTCCACCATGTTGCATATAAATAAGCTTCAGACCAGAGGAGCACCGCTCTCCTCATCACAGGAAGTACGGGGTGGTCGTTCGAGGAGGAATGACGCGCTCGGAGTCCGGCACGGCCCGGAACAGTTTGGGCTCTCGTCTGTTGACGTCCTTGAAGACCATGATGGAGGCGATGTTCCCGCAGCGGTAGCAGTAGTTTGGAGCAGACCACACAGTCACCAGCTTCTCATCGAACATGAACTTATAACCTTCATGAACCAGCTGGTGGGCGCGGCAGATCAGCTTCAGGTTGTTGATGTGAACAAACTGCAACAAAACACCCACCGCTCAGGTCAAAGGTCAGGAGATGGAGAGGCTCCTGTGTTGTTAGAGAGCAGCTTACCTCATTAGTGACCTTGGATCCGAAGAGCCACCCGGCTCCGCGGGGACTGATGGCCCAGGTGTCCACGTCCTCGGGGTCGGACCAGACCAGGTCACAGAACGCCCCCTTGTGAGGGATCTCCTGGTTTCGCTCGATGGTTCGAATCTGATCCAGAGTCTTGATGTCAGGAGAAAGACCTCCATGGACACACAGGATCTGCTCATCGATCAGCTGGAATCGTTCAAGACAAAACCGTTTGGAGCACAAGGACATGAGGGTGACCAGACACGGTCACTCAAAATCAGCCGAGTGACCGTAACAGTCTGGATGGGAAGCCGGCCCAGTTCTGATGAAAACAGAACCTAAAGCTAGGGATGTCCCGATTCGACCTTTTCACTCCCGATGCGATACAGATATCGTAGCCTTCCATATTGACTGATAACGATATCAATCCGATACGATATCAGCACCAACCAAACATGCCTTTACCTGATTCGTAGTGTGGAACGTATGAAAAGCCTGATCAGGTGATATTACTCAATCGGAGAACAAGAGCCGATAGGGATGGGTACCGAATTCGGTACTTTTTAAGGTACCGACCGAATTCCATAGTACCGACCGAGCACTGATTCACTTAATTTGAATCGGTGCCTCGTTTCGGTACCCGTCCTTCACAACGAGAACTTGCCTAGACAGCTGCGCATGCGCAAGAGCGTTATGTCATCGGTCGCTGCGAGCCAGTTGTAAACAGAGCAGCTCCGGTAGGTAAATAAAATGTTTAAGATAACGTTAGCTTGATTTGTTAGCTTCCATTTCACTAACGGTGCTTTCGCTTTCTCCTCGGAACTCCGAATTTCCGACTAGAAGAACATGAACGCGCTCTAAAGTTTGGCTTCACTTTACTAAATGCGACGGGTGATTGGGTGAAGATGAAACCAGTGACAACGATCTAAGTGTGAGGCATCATCGTTTTAATCTGCTCCAGCAGTTAAATAAACTGTTTAAGATAACGTTAGCTTGTTGTGTTAGCTTCCGTTGTTATCAACTAATGGTGCGTTCGCTTTCTCCTTGGAAATTCTAACTTCCCAGCAGGAAAAATCAAATGAAAAAGGACGGTAAAAGGAATGAAGATACACAGTAAATTTAGTTCACAGTAAAGATGTTTGCTTCAGTTTAATTATCAGCTTATAAAACTACAAGGACGATGTTAAAATACAAACAGTTGTATGTTATTTATCGTGATATTTATCAAATATGGTTATATATTGAGAAAAATATATATTTAATTATAAAAGAGAATAAAAATAATAAACACTCAAAAGTATCGAAAATTGGTACCGTTAAGTACCGTATCGATTCATAGGTACCGGGAATTAGTACCGAATCGATTCAAATGTCAAAGGTACCCATCCCTAAGAGCCGATAACAGCAAATGTGGGAAAAAATACGAATTTTTTTAAACCTCTGGTTGCAAAAACGTGAACCTTAACGGACCGCTTATATCGGGAGATTTTTGATGCAGTCCCATTTAATCCGATAGTGTTATTGGACCAATACTGAATTACTTTGGATATCGATATCGGAACGGGACATCCCTACCTAAAGCTACATTTCCATCGGCAGCTGCAGCCATTCATCCCTACAGGAAGTTGTTGGGATTCCTTCTGAAGGAACTCCGATGTAAAACTGGGAAATCTTTGGGGTCGGAGCAGATTTAGGGCAACAAAAACTTGTCTTGGCTGCACTCTGACTAGCCACTAGCCCACCCGTCCTGAAGTACAAACTGTTTCTTTAAACAAAGGCTGTTCAGGAAGGTAATCGGAGAGCTAGGAGTTTAAACAAAAACGTGAAGGAGGCAGGAAAAAGGCTCCATCTTACAGCAGCGACGGTCAGCATGTCAAACACTTTGGTGCAGTATCTCCAGGCGTTGGCGTTCCCATATTTAGTCTGACATTCATCTACAATAAAAACATTCAATCAGTGCAGAAGATGCTCGTCAGTCTGGTTTCAGCAACAAGGAAACAACCTGCAGCCGAAGACGCCACGTACCGTAAAACCCGTAGACTTGAGTGATCTGTCGGCTCTCATGGTTTCCTCGGAGCAGGGTGATGCGGTCGGGCCACTTGGCTTTTAAAGCTAGCAGGTACGTAAACGTCTCCAAACTATAATACCCTCGGTCTACAAAGTCCCCCTGCAGAACAGAACAAACCAACCAGGAAGATGTTCAGCAGCAACAACGCAACCTTTAAACCTTCTACACGTTTATCCTGCGAAGCGCTGAAGACGTTCACCTGGACCTCCAACTGGAGCAGAACTAATCAGTTTTAAATGCTCAGCTCGTAGGAAAAACGTCAGCGACTTGTTGCAGGCTCAGACTCGGCAGGTCGTCTGTGACTAATGACCCAGGCGGTTAGCTGGGTCTCCACTCTGGTCCAACTTTATCCTCCTCATCCACGAGGTTTCTGTGGCTTCTACTAGGGAGTGATCATCAGTGACCCACGATCCGTACGGTTTGGCAAGGACTCGGTTTGCGGATCGGTCACATGGAGGGCGAAGCCGTTACCTGTTCCATCCAAAGGAGAAAAGCACGGCGGAGGAGAGGAGCTTGACAAACCACCTGCACCGTTTAGGTGGCATGTATGGGAGCATGTTGGCTCCCCTGTAAAACACAATGATGATACAAACGGCAGAAGTTAACACACGTCTCCAGTCTGACGGCGCGGCGCCGCACACGCGTGACAGGAGGGAGGGGGCGATGCATGAAACATGCCTTGGACACAAACACGGTGTGACCTGTAAATATTGTTGGGGACAAATCTGTAAAAGAGGACAAAAGAACAACACACAGCACATCGGAAAGGTGAGATGAGTGAAAGCTGGACAGGAAGGGAGAGCGTGTCCATGTAAGGCAAGCCATTTTAACATTTAATCAGCAATCAGAACTCTTTGTAACTCCTGCTTTTATAGCAAGTTGCAAACCGAGCAGAAAATGTTGCACTAAAGCCGTTTTTACAAAACAATGTCGTCTATTTGCTGGAACGCCGTGGCGGCAACAGGGACCCTCAGGTCCTTTATAAGTGGTCAGACCGTGGCGGTAATGTGGTGCAACCGTGTCCTTTTTATAAATGATCAGGCGACAGCGGCATAAAGGGGGTATGTGGGCGGTCTCTGTGATGCCACCGACTTCCGTTTCTCTTGGACATGAAGCTCTCTGTGAGCTTCGGCTCCCCGTGGTGACCTGGGCTTCGTCTCCACATGGTGATCCGAGCTTCGGCTCCCCGTGGTAATCTAGGCTTCGGCTCCCCGTGGTGATCTGAGCTTCGGCTCCCCGTGGTGACCTGAGCTTCAGCTCCCCGTGATGACCTGAGCTTCAGCTCCCCGTGGTGACCTGAGCTTTGACTCCCAGTGGCGATCTGAGCTTCAACTCCCAGCGGTGATCTGAGCTTCAGCTCACCGTGGTGATCCAGGCTTCTGCTCCCCGTGGTGATCTGAGCTTCGGCTCCCCGTGGTGACCTGAGCTTTGACTCCCAGTGGCGATCTGAGCTTCAACTCCCAGCGGTGATCTGAGCTTCAGCTCCCCGTGGTGATCCAGGCTTCTGCTCCCCGTGGTGATCTGAGCTTCGGCTCCCCGTGGTGATCTGAGCTTCGGCTCCCCGTGGTGATCTGAGCTTCGGCTCCCCGTGGTGATCTGCGCTTCGGCTCTAACAGAGACGCTCCAGTTTGCCGTCTCAGCTGATTTTGTTCAAAAAGAAAAACTTGTTGTCTGTGTTTACTTTCATTTTCAATACATTTGCTGACCGGAGCTCCGCATCAACTCCCCACATCATCATGACACCTCCCTCTGTTGCACCATGGCGCAGCAGCCATTTATAAGACAGACCATTACAACAGTATTACCACCAAGCGAGGCAGAACGAACGCTGTAACATTCGTGCAACGCCATGCCAGCATGGTGCACTTATGAGACACACCGTTGCAGTAATATCACACCGATGTGCTAGCATGGTGTGTCTCGTAAAACTGGCTTAAGTGTTCTATGTAATAAAGAGAGAGAGAGCAAAGCTGTTTGTTTTATCTTTTCTTTTTCTTTCTGCTGATCTGAAAAACGATCCGTGACTGAAAACCGTGATATGATCCGAACCGTTACATTTTTGATCCATCCACCTCTAGCTTCTACTACCGTCATTTGGTGACATCACAGTACAAATCTATTCTACTGTCCTAAATTTGATGTGCAGCAGGTTCTATACTAAACACTCTAAATAAAAAACATTTCTTCTCTACTGCTCAAAGTTAATGAAGGACAAAAGAGGGAATGTGAGCATTAAAGGCTGAGATTTCTATCATCTCTGCTATAAATGAGATACAACACAGAAAAAGGGTCAACCTACCATGAAAATGTAATTTGTGTCTGGAACCTGGCCTCCAGTTCTGAAGAGTTCACACAGATCATAAAACTAGACACCAAAGAAGAGAAGAAGACATTTTTATCTGCCGCTGACTTTTATCCAAAGTAGAACAACAGTCAGACGTACCTGACCATGAATATCTCCACAAACTGTAACAGGTGTAGCAACAGGCTGAACGTTTGATTCTTCCAGCAGCAAATCACAGACATAATCACATAACCTCTACAACACACACACACACACACACACACATCATAATTATTGTTGATGAAGGTCAAGAATGAGAACAACATGGTTCAAAATCAAACCAGTCTGGCTTCTGAACACGTTTCAGTAAATCAGAAGCCAGAACATTCATGTGCATAAACAACAGCTGGTTGACCAAAGTCCGCTAACAGAATCAAATAAGAAACAAAATTAGAGAAATTCTGATCTCAAGTTATTGAACAGGTAAACTGTGCCATGGGGTTCTCTAAAATAAGGCTAAATATTCAGGTGATCAGCTGGCCGGTATAAAGTCAGAGTGTACACCGCTGTAGGTGATCCCTATGTTAGCTGGTAGCTTTAGCCTACCTCCCCTTTCTCAACTGTTAACATTTTGTTCAAAGCTGATTAATTTTTTCCGACAAAGTAGACACAAATACATCAAATGCAGATTATTATTACCACCAAGGTGTAAATATATTCCTATTTTAAACATGTTGTGTAGTCGCGCCGTTAGCCTCATCAGCTACTAACAAACCTAATGCTAGCTCCAGCTCATTAAACTCACCTTTAAGTCGTTCTCCGGTAAATATTTGCAATGTTTAGCGATTTCCACGTATTTGTCAAGGTCTAAGGGCGCCATAATAAGGAAGGTAAAACTTATATAAAAATACTATGTTAGCCCGCTAGCTAGTTCCTTTTCTTTTCCGTTTTTTTTCTAGCTCTTCCTCAACGATTCCTCAGCTGTAAATCCTCTGATACATGCACTATCGCCTCACAGCGGCTAACAGCGGAAGTGCAATGAGGCAGGAGCAGCCGTAGCCTGGCCTGCGTGCGCGAGGAGAGTCGCGACTCGCGATGGTTTCGCTGCAGACCAGGAGACCGCAGATTCAGACCCACCGCAGATGCAGACCCACCGCAGATTCAGATCCACCACAGATTGGGACCAACCGCAGATTCAGGCCCACCGGAGATTCAGGCTTGTGTTGTTTATGAGACAGCGCGTTCCAAGATGGAGGACGATCAGAGAGTGATGAATGTGAAGCACATTTGTTTAATGCTTTCAAAGTCTCCATACTAAACTTTCAAAACTAAATTTAAATCTCGTTTGACAACAAAATGAACATTTTCTTGTGTTTAAATGGTAAATGGCCTGTATTTGATATAGCGCCTTCTAGAGTCCTGGAACCCCCCAAGGCGCCTTACAACACAATCAGTCATTCACCCATTCACACACACATTCACACACTGGTGGGGATGAGCTACGATGTAGCCACAGCTGCCCTGGGGTGCACTGACGGAGGCGAGGCTGCAGAGCACTGGCGCCACCGGTCCCTCCAACCACCACCAGCAGGCAACGTGGGTTAAGTGTCTTGCCCAAGGACACAACGACAGCGACAGACTGAGCGGGGCTCGAACCTGCAACCGGGATTACGGGGCGAGCACTTAACTCCTGTGCCACTGTCGCCGTCACCGTCGTCGTTTAGTTTGACTCGTAGCAGCATTACTTATCTAACCTTGACTAATCACTACTTTACAGTGTAAAAGTTACAACTCTAGATTCATTGTAAGGTCGGTTGCAAATATTATGTACATAATGCTTTGTACAATCATGCCTAACTTTGATTTTTAGTTTTTTTTTTCTTTTTTTTAATTCAATTAATATTTAAAATTGTTGTATTGGTCTAAATGTTCTGTTTTCATGCCTTAGCTTTATTTTATATTTTATTTAATTTTCATGTTTGAATGTTATTAGTAGTAGTAGTATTTTTTTCTCTTATGTATTTTAATCCTTTGTATTTTCTTTATTTTATTTTTATCCTACATAATGAGTAGCCCTTGACTGCAGTACACAGGGGCGGGCACCATATTTAAAAAAAAAACACGTGCGCTGCCTAAAGGCATAGATATGTATATAAACACCGTGTTTATACACATTTCTACAGATATGTATATGAACACCGTATAAACACGGTCATATGTGACCCAATGTGCTGGGTCACATATGACCCAATGGTGGGTTGAACTGACCCAACCTTAAGATTTTCAGCCTCAACTCAACAGTTGGGTTAGCAAAAATAACCCCACTTTTTTAAGAGTGTATAGACTACTGCGTCACAACCTGGCCATTCACTGGAGATACACTTTTAAAACCAACAGAAATATTATTCAAAAAGTCTTTAAAAATCCTTGATCAAAAGCCTTTGTCACTTCACCACTGTAATATTTTGGAAAAGTATAACATGCTCAATTTTAAAATGCGTATTAAGTTTAAAAATAGCTGTTTAATCCACAGAATTCTTAATGGATGAGCCCCACCTCCACTTTCCACATATATCAAACTAAGACCGGACAATGGCTTTGGTACCAGAGCCTCCACTAGAGGAGACCTTCAGATTCCCTGCAGGAGAACAACGTTCGGACAAACTGTATCGTCAGTCAGAGGGAGTCAATGTTGGAACCATATCCCAGTGAAAATCAGAGAGTGTGCCACTGATAGAACTAGTGATGTGTCGGTAGCGAACGAGCCGGCTCTAAGAGCCGGCTCTTTGAAGTGAACGACGGGAGCCGGCTCGTCATTCGGAGCCGTAACCCCCCCCCCGCCTTGGTGAAAGCTACAGGCGACTGGTTAACATGTGTAACTGCATGTCCAGACTGTCCACACACAGAGCAGTAGGGGCGGGGAAGAGGGAGGATCAGACTCAGACAGACACAACACAGCAGAGCACCTGCGGGTGGAGGGAGACAAGAGGCAATGAGGAGGACGAAAAAGGCGAGCGAAAGGGAGGAGAGTGCGACGAAGACGGTGAGAAAATGAGCGCCAGCAGTCGGAAAGTGGAGATTTCTTAGTGTTCAGTTATTAAATCCATAGAAATTATAAACATTTGACATATTGCATTTTTAACATTAGTAAATTATTTTACATATACGGTAGTTTAGCATTATTTTGGTTATAAATGTATTCTACGCAACAGAAAATCTGAGGAGCCACTTGGGAGCCGAAAGAGCCGGCTCTTTTTGGTGAGCTGAGCCAAAAGTACCGGCTCTCGAAAAAGAGCCGGAATTCCCACCACTAGATAGAACCTCAAACTAAACCCAGACATGTTTGGACTTGTAGTAACTTGCTTGTTTGTTTTTTGTTTATATTTCTATGTTTTTGTATCTGACTGTTTTTCATTTGTACATTGTAAATTGTTTTATTTAGTCATCCTGTTGAGGAACTGCAGATGTAAATTAGCAATTGTGCTATAATCTGGCCTCTTTACAATGGATACAACGTATGTGATTGTTATTAATGCGCACTGTCCCGAATAAATAAATAAATGAAATGATCGACCACCATCTCCGAGAAAGAGAGGATCACAAGCACAAACTGAAAATAAACGAGTGCGTCTGGCACCAGAAATAAGGGCGCTAGAGTCGAACACCTTGTGTATTAAAACATTTTCACACACTGCAGGTGAGGCCTCGAAGAAGGGGACATTTAAGGCAGCTTTCACTAGATTCAAAAGAACACGTATTTGTTTTACCCATTTCTGATAATTATGTAGACGGTCTCTTAACATTGGGAAGGATGTGCAACCCATGCAGGGGGTTGTGGGACTAATATTATAGCATCAGCTGCTCCACTATTAAGTAAAATGACTATAAATAAGCCGATAATGATATGTTTGGTTGATTTGGTCATATTTTGGTGTGTCTGGTTGCTGCTTTGCTTATTAAATTATTAAAAACCAGAACATTTCTACTCCCAGGCGCTAGGGGGCGGTGAAGCCGGTGCGTGATGACGTCACGTCTTTTTACGTAGTAAAAACAAGGCGCGTGTGAGTTGGTGGCGCGTTTAAAGAGTCCAGTTTGGAGAGTAAAGAGAGAAACGCGAGGATTAGAAGTGCATTTTCCCGGATTAGGGTTATTAATCTGAAGCGGAAGGATGTCTCAACACAGGTTTGATGCTTAACTACATTTAGTTCCTGTTTTCTGTCTTATTCGCTTATTTAAACCAAGAAAATGAAACAAGTCGATGATCCGATTAAAATAATCCAGTTAAATAAACGGATCACTTAATCTGATGTCGGACTACTGGGGTTTCCTTTCTAAACTGCTGGTTTGATCATTTTATGCAGATTATTTTTAATGGTGTTTAAAAGCAGCTCTCCCAGTGGTTCTAGCGGTGGGACTTTGCGCGACCTGTCATCATCCTGATGGCGGGCTGGGGGTGGGGGGGTGGGGGTGGGGAGAGTCTTCCTCAGGATGGAGGTCCGGTTCTGGCTGATCAGACCCATCTTGTCCACCTGCAGCCGGACCCTGATGCACCTGCCCTGCTCCAGCCTCCGGAACAAACGGTCCCGGACCTGCCTGGCTGAGGGTCCGGACTCTGAGTGCACCCCCACAGAGTCCATCCAGCAGAGACCACCGCCTCTCAAGGTCCCACTGCTCCTCCCCAGGGGCAAAGAGAACGAGTTTGTGCTGGCCCGGAGGTCCCGGAGGAGGAAAAGCTCCAAGTCAGGTAGGAGAAACCACCCCACCCCCCCACGCTTCCATCTGGCTGCCTTCAGAAACCTTAAACCTCTCTGATTGGCTGGTTTCTCTCCTCAGGTGTTTCATTGGATCATCTACCTGAGGAGCTGCTCCTGAGGATCTACTCTTGCCTCCCCTTGCATGACCTGCTGAGGATTTCTGGAGTCAGTAGGCGCTGGCAGCGTTTGGCGTAAGAGATCCTGCTGGACCGCACACACACACACACACACACACACACACACACACACACACACTCAGAAAACCCAGCTGTGGTTAGGGTCGGGGCTTCTCCAGGGGGTCCCTGATAAGTCCCTGCTTGACCAATCGCACCTGTTCACTCGAGGATTTGTCGCTAACACCAACGATGCTCAGGTCAAGTTCTCGTGCGTCTGCGGGCAGACCCTGTTAATGGATGCTAGATAAGTGAGCATCTTCCCCCAGATGGAGCAAGAATTATTCATTCATGCCAACGAGCACTACAGAGAACTAGAACAGAGCACCGGCTGTTTGATTAGAGCCGTCTTCCTGGAGGCGTTTATTTAGTTTATGTGTTTCCATGGCAACGCCGGAAGTCCGCTTCCGTTCTGTTTCTCCTCGTATTTCATTTGAGTTTCCATCAGTGGGGCTTTGGGCGGAGCAGCAGAGACATGCAGGTGACCTTTGGGCTGGAGGGGATCAGGATCCGGTTCTGAGGTAATCTGTGTGTTTCAGGTCCGATGAGTCTCTGTGGTACAGCGTGGACCTGGAGGGGCTGACCCACGTGGGCCCGGCTCTGCAACAGGTTCTGAGGACCGGGGTCCGCCGGCTGCGCTGCCCTCGAGCTTTTGTAGAGGAACAATACCTGACCGACTCTCGGTGAGTCCGACAGCCCGGATTGGGGTCCGGTCCCAGCAGCAGGTAGAACCCCCCTGATAATGGGTTCTGTTCTGTCCTTCCAGCCCGCTGCAGATCGTTGAGTTGGACCTGTCCAGCTCTATCATCCCGACCTCGACTCTCCAGAACATTTTGGGTCGCTGCAGGCTGCTGCACCACCTGAGCCTGGAGGGTCTGCAGCTCTCCAACAGCATCATCAGGTCTGACTTGTACCGGGTCAGGATTTGGTCTGATTGGTTCTGGTTGTTTCAGACATGAAAATCCCTCACGTAGGGTCACAGCGAGGCCAGCTTTCCCAGTTCAACCAGTTCCAGTATTATCCACTGGAGGACATACTCATGAGCCCCCCCGACACCACCAACAGTAGTGGAAATAAGTCCATCTGAACCGGCGACGCGCTCGAACGCAGCTCATCTGAACCAGCGACGCTTGAACACAGCTCGTCTGAACCAGCGACGCTTGAACACAGCTCGTCTGAACCGACGACGCTCGAACGCAGCACGTCTGGACCGGCGACGCTCCAATGCAGCTCATCTGAACCAGCGACGCTTGAACACAGCTCGTCTGAACCGACGACGCTCGAACGCAGCTCGTCTGAACCGGCGACACTTGAACACAGCTCATCTGGACCGGCGACGCTCCAATGCAGCTCGTCTGGACCAGCGACGCGCTCGAACGCAGCTCGTCTGAACCGGCGACACTTGAACACAGCTTGTCTGGACTGGCGACGCTCCAATGCAGCTCGTCTGGACCGACGACGCTCGAACGCAGCTCGTCTGAATCGGCAACGCGCTCGAACGCAGCACGTCTGAACCAGCGACGCTCAAATGCAGCTCGTCTGAACCGGCGAGGCTCGAGCGCAGCACGTCTGGACCGGCGACGCTCCAATGCAGCTCGTCTGGACCAGCGACGCGCTCGAACGCAGCTCGTCTGAACCGGCGACACTTGAACACAGCTTGTCTGGACCGGCGACGCTCCAATGCAGCTCGTCTGGACCGACGACGCTCGAACGCAGCTCGTCTGAATCGGCAACGCGCTCGAACGCAGCTCGTCTGAACCAGCGACGCTCAAATGCAGCTCGTCTGAACCGGCGAGGCTCGAGCGCAGCTCGTCTGAACCGGCGACACGCTCGAACGCAGCTCTTTTGGACCAGCGACGCGCTCGAACGCAGCTCGTCTGAATCTGCAACGCGCTCGAACGCAGCTTGTCTGAACCGGCGACACTCGAACGCAGCTCGTCTGAATCGGCAACGCTCGAACGCAGCTCGTCTGGACCGGCGACACTCGAACGCAGCTCGTCTGGACCAGCGACGTTCGAACGCAGCTCGTCTGGACCAGCGACGCTCGAACGCAGCTCGTCTGGACCAGCGACGCGCTCGAACGCAGCTCGTCTGGACCAGCGACGCTCGAACGCAGCTCGTCTGGACCAGCGACACGCTCGAACGCAGCTCGTCTGGACCAGCGACGCTCGAACGCAGCTTGTCTGAACCGGCGACGCTCGAATGCAGCTCGTCTGAACCAGCGACGCTCAAACGCAGCTCGTCTGGACTGGCGACGCTCAAACGCAGCTCGTCTGGACCGGCGACACTCGAACGCAGCTCGTCTGGACCAGCGATGCTCGAACGCAGCTCGTCTGGACCAGCGACGCTCGAACGCAGCTTGTCTGGACCGGCGACGCGCTCGAACGCAGCTCGTCTGAACCGGCGACGCTCAAACGCAGCTCGTCTGGACCAGCGACGCGCTCGAACGCAGCTCGTCTGAACCGGCGACACTTGAACACAGCTCGTCTGAACCGACGACGCTCGAACGCAGCTCGTCTGAACCGGCGACACTTGAACACAGCTCATCTGGACCGGCGACGCTCCAATGCAGCTCGTCTGGACCAGCGACGCGCTCGAACGCAGCTCGTCTGAACCGGCGACACTTGAACACAGCTTGTCTGGACCGGCGACGCTCCAATGCAGCTCGTCTGGACCGACGACGCTCGAACGCAGCTCGTCTGAATCGGCAACGCGCTCGAACGCAGCTCGTCTGAACCAGCGACGCTCAAATGCAGCTCGTCTGAACCGGCGAGGCTCGAGCGCAGCACGTCTGGACCGGCGACGCTCCAATGCAGCTCGTCTGGACCAGCGACGCGCTCGAACGCAGCTCGTCTGAACCGGCGACACTTGAACACAGCTCATCTGGACCGGCGACGCTCCAATGCAGCTCGTCTGGACCAGCGACGCGCTCGAACGCAGCTCGTCTGAACCGGCGACACTTGAACACAGCTTGTCTGGACCGGCGACGCTCCAATGCAGCTCGTCTGGACCGACGACGCTCGAACGCAGCTCGTCTGAATCGGCAACGCGCTCGAACGCAGCTCGTCTGAACCAGCGACGCTCAAATGCAGCTCGTCTGAACCGGCGAGGCTCGAGCGCAGCTCGTCTGAACCGGCGACACGCTCGAACGCAGCTCTTTTGGACCAGCGACGCGCTCGAACGCAGCTCGTCTGAATCTGCAACGCGCTCGAACGCAGCTTGTCTGAACCGGCGACACTCGAACGCAGCTCGTCTGAATCGGCAACGCTCGAACGCAGCTCGTCTGGACCGGCGACACTCGAACGCAGCTCGTCTGGACCAGCGACGTTCGAACGCAGCTCGTCTGGACCAGCGACGCTCGAACGCAGCTCGTCTGGACCAGCGACTCGCTCGAACGCAGCTCGTCTGGACCAGCGACGTTCGAACGCAGCTCGTCTGGACCAGCGACGCTCGAACGCAGCTCGTCTGGACCAGCGACGCGCTCGAACGCAGCTCGTCTGGACCAGCGACGCTCGAACGCAGCTCGTCTGGACCAGCGACACGCTCGAACGCAGCTCGTCTGGACCAGCGACGCTCGAACGCAGCTTGTCTGAACCGGCGACGCTCGAATGCAGCTCGTCTGAACCAGCGACGCTCAAACGCAGCTCGTCTGGACTGGCGACGCTCAAACGCAGCTCGTCTGGACCGGCGACACTCGAACGCAGCTCGTCTGGACCAGCGATGCTCGAACGCAGCTCGTCTGGACCAGCGACGCTCGAACGCAGCTTGTCTGGACCGGCGACGCGCTCGAACGCAGCTCGTCTGAACCGGCGACGCTCAAACGCAGCTCGTCTGGACCAGCGACGCGCTCGAACGCAGCTCGTCTGAACCGGCGACACTTGAACACAGCTCGTCTGAACCGACGACGCTCGAACGCAGCTCGTCTGAACCGGCGACACTTGAACACAGCTCATCTGGACCGGCGACGCTCCAATGCAGCTCGTCTGGACCAGCGACGCGCTCGAACGCAGCTCGTCTGAACCGGCGACACTTGAACACAGCTTGTCTGGACCGGCGACGCTCCAATGCAGCTCGTCTGGACCGACGACGCTCGAACGCAGCTCGTCTGAATCGGCAACGCGCTCGAACGCAGCTCGTCTGAACCAGCGACGCTCAAATGCAGCTCGTCTGAACCGGCGAGGCTCGAGCGCAGCACGTCTGGACCGGCGACGCTCCAATGCAGCTCGTCTGGACCAGCGACGCGCTCGAACGCAGCTCGTCTGAACCGGCGACACTTGAACACAGCTCATCTGGACCGGCGACGCTCCAATGCAGCTCGTCTGGACCAGCGACGCGCTCGAACGCAGCTCGTCTGAACCGGCGACACTTGAACACAGCTTGTCTGGACCGGCGACGCTCCAATGCAGCTCGTCTGGACCGACGACGCTCGAACGCAGCTCGTCTGAATCGGCAACGCGCTCGAACGCAGCTCGTCTGAACCAGCGACGCTCAAATGCAGCTCGTCTGAACCGGCGAGGCTCGAGCGCAGCTCGTCTGAACCGGCGACACGCTCGAACGCAGCTCTTTTGGACCAGCGACGCGCTCGAACGCAGCTCGTCTGAATCTGCAACGCGCTCGAACGCAGCTTGTCTGAACCGGCGACACTCGAACGCAGCTCGTCTGAATCGGCAACGCTCGAACGCAGCTCGTCTGGACCGGCGACACTCGAACGCAGCTCGTCTGGACCAGCGACGTTCGAACGCAGCTCGTCTGGACCAGCGACGCTCGAACGCAGCTCGTCTGGACCAGCGACTCGCTCGAACGCAGCTCGTCTGGACCAGCGACGCTCGAACGCAGCTCGTCTGGACCAGCGACACGCTCGAACGCAGCTCGTCTGGACCAGCGACGCTCGAACGCAGCTTGTCTGAACCGGCGACGCTCGAATGCAGCTCGTCTGAACCAGCGACGCTCAAACGCAGCTCGTCTGGACTGGCGACGCTCAAACGCAGCTCGTCTGAATCGGCAACGCTCGAACGCAGCTCGTCTGGACCGGCGACACTCGAACGCAGCTCGTCTGGACCAGCGATGCTCGAACGCAGCTCGTCTGGACCAGCGACGCTCGAACGCAGCTTGTCTGGACCGGCGACGCGCTCGAACGCAGCTCGTCTGAACCGGCGACGCTCAAACGCAGCTCGTCTGGACTGGCGACGCTCAAACGCAGCTCGTCTGGACTGGCGACGCTCAAACGCAGCTCGTCTGGACCGGCGACACTCGAATGCAGCTCGTCTGGATCGGTGACGCTCAAACGCAGCTCGTCTGAACCGGCGATGCGCTCGAAAGCAGCTCGTCTGGACCAGCAACGCGCTCGAACGCAGCTCGTCTGGACCGGCGACACTCGAACGCAGCTCGTCTGGACCAGCGATGCTCGAACGCAGCTCGTCTGGACCAGCGACGCTCGAACGCAGCTCGTCTGGACCAGCGACGCTCGAACGCAGCTCGTCTGGACCAGCGACACGCTCGAACGCAGCTCGTCTGGACCAGCGACGCTCGAACGCAGCTTGTCTGAACCGGCGACGCTCGAATGCAGCTCGTCTGCACTGGCGACGCTCAAACGCAGCTCGTCTGGACCGGCGACACTCGAACGCAGCTCGTCTGGACCAGCGACACGCTCGAACGCAGCTCGTCTGAACCGGCGATGCGCTCGAAAGCAGCTCGTCTGGACCAGCAACGCGCTCGAACGCAGCTCGTCTGGACCGGCGACACTCGAACGCAGCTCGTCTGGACCAGCGATGCTCGAACGCAGCTCGTCTGGACCAGCGACGCTCGAACGCAGCTCGTCTGGACCAGCGACGCTCGAACGCAGCTCGTCTGGACCAGCGACGCTCGAACGCAGCTCGTCTGGACCAGCGACACGCTCGAACGCAGCTCGTCTGGACCAGCGACGCTCGAACGCAGCTTGTCTGAACCGGCGACGCTCGAATGCAGCTCGTCTGGACCGGCGACGCTCAAACGCAGCTCGTCTGGACCAGCGACGCTCGAACGCAGCTCGTCTGGACCAGCGACACGCTCGAACGCAGCTCGTCTGGACCAGCGACGCTCGAACGCAGCTCGTCTGAACCAGCGACGCTCAAACGCAGCTCGTCTGGACTGGCGACGCTCAAACGCAGCTCGTCTGGACCGGCGACACTCGAACGCAGCTCGTCTGGACCAGCGATGCTCGAACGCAGCTCGTCTGGACCAGCGATGCTCGAACGCAGCTCGTCTGGACCAGCGACGCTCGAACGCAGCTTGTCTGGACCGGCGACGCGCTCGAACGCAGCTCGTCTGAACCGGCGACGCTCAAACGCAGCTCGTCTGGACTGGCGACGCTCAAACGCAGCTCGTCTGGACCGGCGACACTCGAATGCAGCTCGCCTGGATCGGTGACGCTCAAACGCAGCTCGTCTGAACCGGCGATGCGCTCGAAAGCAGCTCGTCTGGACCAGCAACGCGCTCGAACGCAGCTCGTCTGGACCGGCGACACTCGAACGCAGCTCGTCTGGACCGGCGACACTTGAACGCAGCTTGTCTGGACCGGCGACACTCCAACGCAGCTCGTCTGAACGTCTCCTGTGTAGACCTCCATGATAATGGCTCCTTCCTGCTCGTACGGTCCGAGCCTGAACGGAGTACCGACGGGTCGGATCCGGCTTGCTTCCATTTTGTGTCCATTTAATTTGAGCGTGATGAGTCGAGCTAGGACAGAAGAGAGATGCATGGTGAAGACACGCTAATCCGGTTCTGGGCTGAAAGTCCTCGGGTCGCTTCGGTTGGAGGAGCTCAGAACTCTGATCTAGTTTAGCTGTCCGCCTGTAGACGCTCCTGCTGAACTTTGTTCTGTTTCATGAACCGGGCCGACCTGGGTTTGTGTTCACTTCTACTTATACTGGGAGGAGACTTTAGTCCACCGCTGAGTCAGATGTTTTCTTCTGGTTGCTTGTTTCTCCTCAGAGACTGGATGGATGAGGAGATTATAAAAGGGGTCTCACCCGTTCTCATGCCTGTGTTTGTGTTGTTCTGCCCCCTAGCTGCCTGGTGAAGAACTCCAACCTGCTGCAGCTCAATCTGAGCGGCTGCTCTGGCTTCTCTTCTGCTGCTCTCACTGAGCTGCTTCAGTCCTGCTGCAGGTCAGCCGATCGCCCAGTTTCTACTATCGGAACCGGGCCGTTGGGTTCTGATGTATCTGTCCTTGTATCTGCTCCTTCAGGCTGGAGCAGCTGAACGTGTCGTGGTGCAGCTTCAGCAGCGATCATGTGAAGAGTGTTGTGGGTCACCTGAGTCCAACCGTGTCTGCCTTGAACCTGAGTGGCTACAGAGAGAGTCTGACCCTGGACGGTAAGGAACCAGTGCCGGGTCCAAAACCAGCTAAAGGCAGATCAGAGACAATACAGGCATCAGGATATTTAAGGATTGAATAGCCAATAAAATGACTTTAAATGAACAGGAAGTCGGTGTGAGACCAGAACCCAGTTAGAAACGGTTCTGTAGGTGAGTGATGGGGGCAGGGCTGTACACCAGGAGGGACGTTCGGGGGGCCGAGGAGCACCAGGGGGGCCACTAACACAACTGAAGACTGGGGCACACCGGAGAGACGGAAGCGCAGCAGTTTTGAGAAGAGGTCACAGGACGCGCTGCTGAGCGCTTCTCGGAAAGTCGCGTGAAAGTCACAACATTACGCGGGATTTGAAAACAGGAAGTGGAAAGTGATGGTGCATTCAAGTTTTCTTCGGAACTTGTTTTTCCGAGATAAGTTAGCCAGAAATGACGCAATGGACTCAGAATTCTGAGCTGCGAGCTCTTAGGTTCCAGAGGACCCCGAGATCCCAAATTTAAAGATGGCTGCGCCCAGTGCTACCAGGAAGTAGTTTTCGTCTTCATCTTTTCTCGAGAGCAATTTAGATTTTAATGAATTAAACAATTATCGACCGGTATCCAACTTACCATTTTAAGTAAAATTTTAAAAAAGCTTGTTTTAAACCAACTCAATGATTTTACCAACACCCATAATGTTTTAGAGAAATTTCAGTCTGGTTTTAGGGCGAACCACAGCACCGAGACGGCCCTTCTGAAGATTTTAAATGATTTTAGAGTAAATTATGACAAACGGAAGGTGACAGTGTTGGTTCTACTGGATCTAAGTGCTGCCTTTGATACAGTAGACCACACTGTTCTTTTAACTCGTTGGAAACGGATCGACCTCTCTGGTGCTGTTCACCAATGGTTCACATCCTACCTCACAGACAGGACTTTCATGGTGAGCTTGGATACATGTTCCTCTGGGGTTCATGGGATCACATGTGGTGTGCCCCAGGGTTCAATTTTAGGCCCAGTGCTTTTTAACTTTATATGCTCCCTCTTGGTGGGGTCATCAGAAGATACGGGGTGAATTTCCACAGTTACGCTGATGATACACAGCTGTACATCTCTGTGTCTCCTGATGACACACGGCCAATGGATGCACTTTTTAACTGTATTTTTGACATCAAATCCTGGATGGCAGAGAACTTTCTCCAGCTCAACCAGGACAAAACTGAAGTTTTAGTCATCGGTCCTGAGGCCCAGAGAGAAGCTTTTACCTAAACTACAATCACTGTCTCTTAATCTATCTTCACAAGTGAAGAACCTGGGTGTCATCTTTGACTCTGAGCGGACTTTTATCCATCATATTAAAAATATCACAAAAATAGGTTTTTATCATCTAAAGAACATCGCCAGAGTCCACCCTGTTCTCTCTCGGGCCGATACGGAGACGCTGCTGCACGCTTTTATCACCAGTAGACTAGACCACTGCAATGCCCTGCTTTCTGGTCTTCCTAAAAAGAGGATTTCAGGTCTACAACTTCTACAAAGCTCAGCAGCACGTGTCCTGACGAAGACCAGGAAGCGGGAGCACATCACTCCAGTTTTAGAATCGCTGCATTGGCTCCCCGTGTGTTTCAGGATCCATTTTTAAATACTTTTAACGGTCTTGGGCCTTCCTATCTTTCAGAACTGCTTTTGCCGTATGAACCCACGCGGTCTCTGCGCTCCTCTGGCAGCCGTCTCCTTGTCATCCCTAAAGTCAGGACTCATATTCACAGCGAGGCGTCCTTCCAGTACTACGGTCCTCGCCTCTGGAACGAGCTGCCAGGGGACCTCAGGGCCGCAGAGAACGTTCTTGTTTTTAGAAACAGACTCAAGACTCATCTTTTAGCTTAGCTTTTAACTGAATATGCTCACTTTTTTAATTAATTAATGAATTAATTAATTCATTAATTAATTAGTTTATTTATTTATCTATTTATTTGATGTATTCTTTCTTTATACGTGCTTTTTTTAAACAGAGTTTTTTTACCATAGATTTATGATCAACATTATTTTAATATCTATATAACTTTTTATATTACAATTCTCATTTTAGCTCTTATGATTTTATATTTTAACCTTAATTTAACCTTTTTCCAGTGTTTCCTCTGTGGGAGCCCTCTGCCCCGGGAGCGGTGGTCAGCTGTGGCGGCCTGGGTGCTTTCCTGGTGTGCCTAGGTGGAGGTGGGGGTCTCTGCCCTCCCTGCACTGGGCGCCCTGTGTCGGTGCCTCGGCTGCTGCTGCGGATCTGCTGCTGTCGGAGCGGATGGCTCCCCTGATGGTGTTTCCTTATTCTTATCTTAGCTGGTCTGGCTCATCTGATCTCAGTCAATCGTGTTTTTTTTACCATGGGGAAGGGGGCATGTATGCATGTGTGTGTGCTGGAGGAGGAGTGTTGTGAAGGGGTTTTTATTGTCAGACTGGGCGTTTAATCCGATTAAATGTGCACATGTAAACGTGGCTTCTGCCGCCAAACTTGACCAGTTAACGTGCTGTAAGACTAGTAAATACAATGAAATGGACAGCGACAAAGACGCTAAAACATAAGAGTACAGCTTTCATTGAGGGTGCAGCTTTTATCACATAGAACTAGGAAGTTCAGCTAATACGTTATAAAGATTTTCGTTATATTTGTTGGTGTTTCAGGGACTTTAGAGATAATTGAAATTCTATTAAAAAAAACTTTTGTCGCTATTAATACATATTAATTATGACCAGTAAGATGTGATGATTCCATATAAATATGAAATATCAACCTGATCTTTGAATGTTTATTCAGAAGATTCTCAGGTTCATTGCTTCTTCAGGGATCATAAACACACTTCGTATTAATGCAGACAGAGTCAGTTTGTAGTTTATAAAAGGAATTTAATTATTTTTCCTAAACTAATAATTTATACATGACAGATATGAATAATGTGAGGTGGTGTGGTGGAAGCTAGATGTTGTAGCAACTGTTCTTTGTGTCTGAGAGAAATTGTGAAATCTGGGTGTAAAATAATTTGTTGTTTGTTATAAACTAGAGAGTTGTTTATTTATAAACCTCATCAGACTCCAGTATGCAGGCGTACGATGCCCTGGTATGAGTTGCTCCCGGCGGTCCGGAGGGTTGCGGTCAGAGTGGTGAGGTCACCGGACGTCGAAACCACGATACTCAGAGATTAGTAGCTTCCTCTGAGTTCAGCTTCCCCGGCCATGAGATGCAACCCGGGGTCTGCAGGTTAGGTGTGAAGTAGCTCTGAAAAGCTGTTGTCTGTAATCACTCGCAGCGTCGCAGAGAGGCTTTGTTATGATTTCTGGCCAAGTTTGGCCAATCAGACTTTGACACGTTTCTGACGCCAAAACTCCACTATCTCCGCAGCAAAATCGGTCCCGTTGTAGTCAATCAGAGCTGTTCAACTACTGCGGCCGTGCGGCGCAGTGCGCCGTTCCGCCATCCGGCAAAAATAGGATCGATTCTATTTTTGCCGGACGCCGGAGCACCTCCGCAGTCAATGGACAGAAATCACAGCCGCCCAACAGGAAAGGGAGCAAGCACAGCTTCCGTTATTTCACAATAAATCGATAAACAAAAAGTGTTTTTTGTTTCATATGCACAGGTTTAACAACTTTTAACAACTATCAATGGCGGCTGAAGTTTAAATGCACAAAAATAAGCCATAAATACAGTTTCCACCATCAAAGTAGTCACACTTTGTTGATCCAAACACTGCTGATCTCTCAACACAAATGATGGGCAGATTAAACAGTTCATGCCGATGCTTCTCCCACACAACGGGTGTTTGGATCTAACTTCCGCGTTTATTGCTTGGACTGTATCGCAAGATCTCGAAAATCCCGCGCATGCTTGTTTGCGCACCTCAGGTCTCCGCACCGGGGCGGAGCCATTGTAGAGCGGGTACAGTATAATTTGAGTTCGGAAGCGAGCGGCAGCGGAAAGCGGGGGCGGAGCGGAGATAGCGGAATTTTGGGGTGAGTCTTTACCAACATCCCTCAGAAAGCCACGCCCTCCTCAGATACAGACATGTTTTAACCTGAATGAGTATCTTATTGTAATGTGTGTGAGTGTAAACAATGATTAACTTGTTACATCAACACACACTGATGTGTGGTATAAATGGATCATGGTAAGAACAATATTCATTTGAATTCATTGGTTTAAGCACAGATTATTCAATCATTTCATTTAATCCTCTTGTTCATTCATCACATGATTATTTAACTCATGAGTTGTAAAGTGGTGGAGTCTTCACCGGTTCAGAGTGAAGAATGTTACATGAAGAGAGTGTAGGACCTTGGGAGAGAACGTCTGGATGTTTTGTCTTCATGTATGTAAACACGCGCTGAACAGAACCTTCTGGTTCTGGAAGGCCAAACAGGAAGTGGATTTATGCCGCAGATGAAAGGTGAAAACCGACCCTTTTGGGCGTTACACTTTGAAGATGGGATGATGGTAAAATTTGTTGTTTATGGTTAAAAATGTGGCTAAACAGGAAGATATTATAATATCTTCATTCCTGATTAGAATTCCAAATATCATCATATTTTTAGTGATGTGAACTGGCGTTTTTATTTTGATCCACATCTCCAGCTTTTCCAGAACAATTGTGCTTTCCGACGTTTGTAAAAGAGGAAGTCTATAGTTTCTATATGACTTCAGCAGTTGTTGCTTTCTGTTAAAACGAGGTCTTAAGAATCTGGAACGATGGATTGCTTTCATTTTAAAGTGGGTTTCTTTAGCTTTCGGTGGTACAGATGGTTTTCCAGGAAGTGAGGATTGGTTTAAGGCTGATATTATAGGAAGGCTTCTGCGTTTTCTGTCCGTTAACGGAAGGTGTTTTCTAGATGAGACAGGAACGGTCGGGATAGCAGATATTCTTGGGTTTGGATGATAAATTGCTCTGGAAGTGCGTTGTGTAATCTGCTAGTCACGTTCAGAAGGATTAAAATTGTATCTTCTGCAGATTTTCATAATTCAAGATGACCGCCTAGATCCATTAAGTGTATAATCGACCATATATCACCTAACCAGTCCCTACAGAACAGTGGTTTGTTTTGTCCAACATAAATAGATCTTTCCTAATAACTATAGAGCGTGGAGAGTAGTTACGTACATATATGATTTTCCAACACAGTAAAATGTGTTTAGGTTTAGGAACAAGTGATGTGTCGGTCGCGAACGAACCGGCTCTAAGAGCCGGCTCTTTGAAGTGAACGACGGGAGCCGTCCCCTCCCCTCCCCCACCCCTCTTGCTTTGGTGAAAGCTACAGGCGATTGGTTAACATGTGTAACTGTGTGTCCAGACTGTCCACACACAGAGCAGTAGGGGCGGGGAAGAGGGAGGATCAGACTCAGACACACAGCAGAGCGAGCACATGCGGGCGGAGGGAGGCGAGCGGGAATGAGGAGGAGGAAAAAGGCGAGCGAGAGAGAGGAGAGTGCGACGAAGACGGTGAGAAAATGAGCGCCAGCAGTCGGAAAGTGGAGATTTCTTAAAGTGTTCAATTATTAAATCCATAGAAATGATAAATATTTGATATACATCATTTTTTTACATTAGTAAATCATTTTACATATAGTGTAGCATTATTTTGGTTATAAATGTACTCTACACAACAGAAAATCTGAGGAGCCACTTGGGAGCCGAAAGAACCGGAATTCCCATCACTATTAGGAACGTCAGTGGCGTCCATCTTCTCCGAGTTGGACCCTGGAACTCAAAACTGGAACGCACAATGGCTCTCCTGTTGTGTGATCAGACTCGACATGGTGTTTTGAGAGTCTGATGAATAAAAAATGGGTTCGCGCGCTATTATTAGAACATTTTAAGATCGATAGTACTCCGAGAGCGAGCAACGCCTAAATGAACTTTGTGTTGCTGACGACCTGTACAGACGAGTGTCTGATGGTGACGTACACACGTGTAATCATTGGTGTGGCAGTTTGGTGCGACTCACCTTAAATGTAACATTTCAGCCCAAAACCGTCGTCGTGTCCCCGTCTTCAGGTTAAAACTCGGCTCCGCAGCCATGCAGAACCAGCTGGTTGGGCCAGTTCATCCACAGGATGACCCCTGACCTTGCTGCCGCGTTCAAACACATCAGATATGGATCAGAATCAGTACCACATATGGATCGGGTTTGCAAAAATCGGATCGGTGCTGTTCAGACATAAAAAAGCCGATATGGGTCTCATGTGGGGGAAACTTGGATTTGATCCAGCCTAAAGTAGAACCGGAACATGAACGGGTTTGTTTCTGTTCTAGATGTGAAGGTTCTGGTGGACCGGTGTCCTCACATCCAGACTCTAGATCTGAGGTAGGACTGTTTCCTTCAGTCATGTGACAACCCCCCCCTACCAGGTGAGCAGCACTAACCCAGGTGTGTTTTCCAGTGACGGCACCCTCCTGACGGCCAACAGCTTCCCGGTTCTCCGGCAGCTCCGGAAGCTGCTGCACCTGTCTCTGAGTCGCTGCTATCACATCCACCTGGCTGCTCTCAGGTCAGTTCTAATGCAACAGGTCGGGCAGAACCAAGAGCCCACCAGTACTGGTTCTGAATCAGCTGACTGATGTCAAAGGTTCCGCTGATCCAATGGTTTCAGAGGACTAACTGGTTCTGTCCCGGTGTTTGCAGCGACCTGGAGAAGCTGATCCCGTCGCTCCGGTTCCTGGACATCTTTGGACTGGTCCAGGAGAACCAGCTGTTGTCTCTGAAGGAGGAGCTTCCCCACATTAGCATCAACTCCAGACCCTTCTCCGCCGTGGCCCGGCCCACTCCCGCCTCCCAGCCGGACCGCAGCATGTGGGGCAGGACGTGTCGGCTCAGGGCGGGACCCTGACGGGGTTCTGCTGCAGCACGCTGGTCGTGCCACTAGTCCTACCGGACTTCTCGGGTTTTACGCTAGTATTGGTTCTGCCCGGCCCATACGGGCTGAAAGTTCTGGTTCTGCTCAGTAATAAGCTGTTGATTTTAATCATTGAAGTTTTTCTACCGCATGAAGTTCGACTCTGATCCGTTTTAAATAATCAGTGAATGTTTTCAGAACCGCAAGTTTTTTATCCGAGCCGGATCCATTAAACCATTCCAAATCCTGAAACAGTTCTGATGTGTGGAACCCGGTTCTGAGTGCTGTGTGGAACCCGGTCCTGAGTTCTGTGTGGAACCCGGTCCTGAGTGCTGTGTGGAACCCGGTCCTGAGTGATGTGTGGAACCCGGTCCTGAGTGCTGTGTGGAACCCGGTCCTGAGTGCTGTGTGGAACCCGGTCCCGAGTGCTGTGTGGAACCCGGTCCCGAGTGCTGTGTGGAACCCGGTCCCGAGTGCTGTGTGGAACCCGGTCCCGAGTGCTGTGTGGAACCCGGTCCCGAGTGCTGTGTGGAACCCGGTCCCGAGTGCTGTGTGGAACCCGGTCCCGAGTGATGTGTGGAACCCGGCTCTGAGTGATGTGTGGAACCCGGTCCTGAGTGTTGTGTGGAACCCGGTCCTGAGTGATGTGTGGAACCCGGTCCCGAGTGCTGTGTGGAACCCGGTCCCGAGTGCTGTGTGGAACCCGGTCCCGAGTGCTGTGTGGAACCCGGTCCCGAGTGCTGTGTGGAACCCGGTCCCGAGTGATGTGTGGAACCCGGTCCCGAGTGATGTGTGGAACCCGGTCCCGAGTGATGTGTGGAACCCGGTCCCGAGTGATGTGTGGAACCCGGTCCCGAGTGATGTGTGGAACCCGGTCCCGAGTGTTGTGTGGAACCCGGTCCCGAGTGCTGTGTGGAACCCGGTCCTGAGTGATGTGTGGAACCCGGTCCTGAGTGATGTGTGGAACACGGTCCTGAGTGCTGTGTGGAACCCGGATCCGAGTGATGTGTGAAACCCGGTCCTGAGTGCTGTGTGGAACCCGGATCCGAGTGATGTGTGGAACCCGGTCCCGAGTGCTGTGTGGAACCCGGTCCCGAGTGCTGTGTGGAACCCGGTCCCGAGTGATGTGTGGAACCCGGTCCCGAGTGCTGTGTGGAACCCGGTCCCGAGTGCTGTGTGGAACCCGGTCCCGAGTGCTGTGTGGAACCCGGTCCCGAGTGCTGTGTGGAACCCGGTCCCGAGTGCTGTGTGGAACCCGGTCCCGAGTGATGTGTGGAACCCGGTCCCGAGTGATGTGTGGAACCCGGTCCCGAGTGATGTGTGGAACCCGGTCCCGAGTGATGTGTGGAACCCGGTCCCGAGTGATGTGTGGAACCCGGTCCTGAGTGATGTGTGGAACCCGGTCCTGAGTGATGTGTGGAACCCGGTCCTGAGTGTTGTGTGGAACCCGGTCCTGAGTGCTGTGTGGAACCCGGTCCTGAGTGCTGTGTGGAACCCGGTCCTGAGTGCTGTGTGGAACCCGGTCCTGAGTGATGTGTGGAACCCGGTCCTGAGTGATGTGTGGAACACGGTCCTGAGTGCTGTGTGGAACCCGGATCCGAGTGATGTGTGAAACCCGGTCCTGAGTGCTGTGTGGAACCCGGTCCTGAGTGCTGTGTGGAACCCGGTCCTGAGTGCTGTGTGGAACCCGGATCCGAGTGATGTGTGAAACCCGGTCCTGAGTGATGTGTGGAGTAAAAGAAGGCCCGGTCCAGTCTGGTTTAACACAGCTGTTTAATAGAAAACTGGGACAAATTTAACAGAACATTTCTACCCAGGAGGTCAAAGGTCACATCAGAGCGCTGAACTGGTTCTGGGTCAGCCCGACCCGCTTTACTGTAATAAAATAAAATAAGCTCCAGTCCCCCCCCCCCCCCCCCCCCAACAGAAACAGTGAACCTACAGAAACGACGTGCAGATGCTACAAACTTCATCTTTATTCTTTAGGGTGTGGAGGAACGACGGGTGGAAGCCGCGGCGCCTCTGTGGGCGGCGGCGGGCCGGCGACACGAGAGGGAATATTATAAAGAACAAAACTTTTTACAAAACACCCCACCCCCCCGCTTTGCTCCCACAGCCAATCACAGGGGGAGGACGAGCCTTTAGTCGTCTTCACCGTCGTCCTGGAAACGGAGAGATACATGAACACGTGACGAGACGTCACAGAAATAAAAAGCTGCAGGTCTTTCCTCACCTCATCTTCATCTTCACCCTCCTCCTCTTCACCTTCATCAATGTCCTCCAGACCCTCCTCCTCTTCCTCCTCCTCATCCTCCCCTTCTTCATCCTCCATGTCAGGGACCTACAATTAACAAGTCGTTTATGGAGAGCCTCGGCACAAATAGTGGTCAAACTTTATGCTTTTCTTCACTCATCCTGCAAAGTTTTCTGGGATGGGAAAAGAGGCGGGGCTACACCTGGAGGAGCCCACCTGAAGCACCGGAATACCAACTAAACGCTAAGCTAAACACGAAGCTGCTTCTTGAGCGAGGACCATGAACTTCCTGTGGAGCAGAGCTGGTTGGCTGCTGTTTACACCTAAACACATAACAGACCAGAGAGGTAGCTCCAAACCGGGTACGCGATCCCCCGAGGACGTCAGTGCTGAGGTTACAAACATTTCTGTAAATGCTACATGTACAAAACCATGATACGACAGCTTTCTACTCTAGGGATGCCTGGTGTCCCGCAGCCAGAAGGTTGTGGGTTTGAATCCCAGATGTAGCCTTTCTGTGTGGAGTTGGCAAATACTTTTACCCCATCATTATGTTCCTAACGCTAACGCACTCAGACTAGCCGTTAGCTCATCAGTCCTGAAGAATGTAAAGTATCTCTCCAAACAGCCGTTGATCAGGAAGCTTAAACACCATCTTTGGTCCTAAATGGACCAGAACCTCTGAAAGAGCGAGCAGACGCTCCTACCAAGTAGTACTGCAGCGGGTTGGGCCAGATGTCATCCTTGATCACCTCTCCGAGCTCGTCTGCTCCAGCGTCGGAGTGGTCGGTGAACCAGGTGAAGAAGCTCTCGGGTTCCTCGTGCTGCCGCTTCTTCCCAGCCTTGCTCGGCGTCTGACCGGCCCGCTTGGTCAAATCCTGAGGGGTCAAAGGTTAAAGAGCAAGTCACCTCCAAATCAGCTTTTTTTCTGATAAGACTATAAATGCGTGTCTAATCGTGCTGCAGACACGTGTAGTCAATAGTTTTGCACTTCAGTGCATTTTAGTTCAAATGTTAATTTTCTGCCTAAAACTGCCAGTGTTGTGCCGTTGTCAGGTAAAAACTCTGCACTGCATTTGAATTTAAATCTGCCATCGCTATTGGCTAAGAGGTACCCTAGAACGTTAGCTGGTACCATTTGATGTCACAATGTTGTGAGCCTGTGTGTGTGTGTGTATTTGTTAGCGGCTCCGCCCTCTTGGTCTGCTAGGCAACAGCACTTGTTGCATTATTCAAACAGGAAGTGGGAGTGTAGTAATACTCTGGTAGGGGGGTGACTTGCTCTTTAAGAGTTGCACTGCAGAACTCACAGAAGACAGAAAAAGAACCCAAAACAAACTCACCTTTCCAGCTTTCCATTTGATCTCGGTTGATTTGGACACTGGGTCTCCGCTTTCGTTGACGTTGAACTCTTTGGAGAGGACTTTGTTCTCAAAGTACGGATTCTCATCAAACGACTGCAGGAACGCAGGAACACACATCAGACAACAGAATCCAGACCAGGAACCCTAGTGGGAATGGGAGCACTTACAAAATCTATTCTGTATCCAGACTTGATGTCTTCAAACTCTGTAACTTCCACCTTGGACAGGTAGTGAAGAGCCTCCTCGTCCTCCTCCCCCAGAAGAGCTGAAACTGAACCCAACAGTTTGGCTTGTCACTGACAGTTAAGGCAGTCAGAATCGGACCAGAGCGAGCCCGGGAACTCACCTTGTGGGTGGTTGACGAACGTTGTGACCCAGAAGTTGGGGATTTTGGCTATGAGTTCTGATCGCTTCTGAAAGAACGGCTGGCGTAATTTGTTGTACTTCTGCTCTACTTTTAAAATTTCTTCACTGGCCTGCTCGTTTAATCTGGAGGAGAGAAAGAAATTAGAAAAACAAACACGAATGGGTTCCTTCTGAAGAGCCAGGACCAGACTCACCTGTCGATTTCATTCTGTACTTCATCAATGTGTTCAATCGCTTCCTGCTGCTCTTTCTCTAGAAAAGCAAAAGCACAAACTTTCTCTCAATAACAAATAAAACTAGATCAAATATTTTATTCACAATCTGATGATTAATCTGCAACATTTTCAGTTTAAATTCCAGTGAAACCAGCTGATAAGGGTTCTGCTGGTGGCCCAAATCGCTTTCTTCAGTCACGTCCTTTCATTGTTGATGCCGTACAAAAATACCCAGAATTCCGTTTTTCACAGCTGATTTGATTTTCCTGAAAATGGGGTTTTTTAATAGACAAAGACTGAAGTATATTTATAAAGTCAACTAATCTCTTAACGCTCATCCTCAGTAGGGTCACAGGGAGCTGGGGGACAACACCTGGACTGGTCTCCAGTCCATCAGAGAATCAAAAGCGTTCAGAACCAGAGACGATGTATTCTCCAGGTAACCTCGGATGTTTAAACTATAGCATGCATGCGGAGAACACGCTACCTCCACGCTACAGCTGGGATTCGAACCTGCAAACTTCTTGCTGCGAAGTAACGTGTGTGTGTGTGTGTCGCCGCCAAGCCTCCACCTCCTGCAGCTTCCTGTTGTTAATGGCGGCCTGGTTTGAATGAAAAACGGGTTCAGCTGCGTTGCGGTTCCGCCATTAAAACCCAGCAGTTCCGCAAAAAGACACTTTTAAAAAGTTTTACGTTTCTACACAAGAACGAGTCCTGCAAACTTAGTAAACAAATGTTTGAATTATCTCTGAGAGAACTACACGAGGTTGAAGCCTGCTTTATTCTAAAGAGGCTAACGGATGCTAACAGCTAGCTAGCTAATGCTACATTACCGTAATACCCGCGTTAACGGGTCTACTGTGTGTGTGGGGAGAAAAAAGGAGGTTTGTTTATCGTCGGGCTATTTATAACCGTGAAACTTCTAAACACAACGCACCAAACACAATACGATGACGATTAAGACTAGGTGAAAATGGCGTTGAGGAGGATAACCGTTACCGGAGGTCTCATCCGCTCCGTCGTGATTTGAATTCTCCTTCTTGCTGACTTTAGCCGATGAGCCCGACATGGTTCCGGTTCACCGTGACACTTCAAGCGAGAATCTGACCCCAGGTAGTTTAAAAGCCTTCTCTTTGAATAACAAAAGTAACTTCCAGCTCAGCCAGCAGCGTCCCCAGCACCACGATGACAAGAAGCTAGCTTATTTCTCCGCCACAAACGCGCTTCGGCTCTCTACTGCCCCCCGGCGGCCTGGAGGAGCGCGGAGGTACGGTGGGGTAGGGGGGACACAGATGGGGATGGCCTCTCCTACAGCAAGCTCGTTGCTAGTAAACATTATAATAAGTGAGACCAGGTTGACAGGTCAGCTGTAAGCGCCTCGTGATTTTTATCTTGAGAGGCGCTATAGAAATGAAATTTTCTTCTTCTTCTTCTAATCAAATATCTCTTTAAGCGCTTTTTGAGCAGGGAAGGAGCCAAAATATTTTTTGGAGTTGGGGCACAAGGGGTACAAACAATGAACCATGTTCGTTTAATCTATTATTCATTTGATCGTTTATTATTCAACCATAGTAAATCATTGCTGTGTTGTGAGGTGAAACAGCACGATTGCAGAGGAAAAACTTGGAAAATTGGTTAAATTCACTGTTTTCCTGCTTGGAGGCATAACCACGGAGACCAAATATCTGACATAACAAAATCTCGTTGGCTCGCTCTGTGTGTGTGTGTGTGTGTGTGTGTGTGTGTGTGTGTGTGTGTGTGTGTGTGTGTGTGTGTGTGTGTGTGTGTGTGTGTGTGTGTGTGTGTGGCCACAATAGATGACAAATATGCCATTTCCAGCATTCTAGTGCATTTTGTTAAATTATAATTAATTATTTTTTAAATACCAGCTGAAAGAAGTGTGTTTTAAAAACTAAATAATCTCGATACCCAGCAGGTGTCTGTGGGCTGAATTAGGATTTAATAATCTTAACTGGCATATGGACCTCCTAACTAACCAGTTAACAACAAACCTGTCCTGTGGGAACATTTAGACTTTTACTCGTCTGTGAGAAAATATTACAAACAGGAAAAGCGTCTCTTGTAACTTACGCGTGCGTGCGTGCGTGCGTGTGTGTGTGCGTGTGTGTGTGTGTGTGTGTGTGTGTGTGTGTGTGTGTGTGTGTGCTCTGTCTTCTCGATCCCCAGTGAGTCGTGGAGGATGGCTGTTTATACTGAGCCAGGATTCTCTGGAGGTTTCTTCCTGTTAAATGGGAGTTTTCCTCTCCACTGTCGCTTTATGCTTGCTTAGTATGAGGATTGCTGTAAAGTCACTGACACTAGTCAGTGACTTGATGCAATTTGCTGGGTTCCTTATATAGGAAACATTATTTCTGATTGGCTTAATGAACTGACCTGAACTGGAATGTTTATTATGTGAAGTGCCTTGAGACGACTCTTGTCGTGATTTGGCGCTATATAAATAAACTTGAATTGAATTGAATTGAACTTACATTTTTTGTTTATTTACTCTTTATGTAACCAGGAAGGTCCCGTTGAGATTAAAGACCTCATTTTAAAGGGAGTCCTGGCCAAGACGCAGCAAAAGTTACAGTTACAAATATTTCAGTTACACAGACATGTTATCTACTGTAGCGTACCAGAGGACAACTATTTGGGTATTTGTCCACCGTAAGGTCAAAGGTCATCACACGGGAGTCTCCGGGCTCTTACTCCTGCTGGTCTCCAAACCAGTAAACACACTGCTCTACGACCTTGTTGCCAAGAAGGGAAGCCATGATAAAGCCTTCTCCTGAATTCCTTAGCTGAAACCAAAGGTCTCATGCAGAAGACGATACCTTCACTCTGAATAAAGTTCATCTTCCTTGGATCATAAATGACTTTACAACTTTATCGGTTGATATAATCAAATGTGTTGAATGAACAAGATGTTTAAATCCAAAGTGATTTAATTATGTGTGCATTAACCAATGATGGTTTCAAATGTTTTTTTTCCTGTCATGATTAATTTCAGATCTCAACACCAGACCAGTGTTTGTTGATTCTAGTCATTTAATCTATCAGCATATTCACACATCATCAGATTATTATTGATGTTTAACAATCTTGCGTGTCTAACATTTTCACTTCACACTAAGAAAAACCTCTAAACATCTGCGTGAAGGCGTGATTCTCTGACGTCTTTGGTAAAACTTGGCAAATTCTTATTTGTCTATAATTTATAAACAAAAGTTGATAAATACTAGCCTAGTGAACTAGACCAAATTCTTGCTTTGCAAAGTTTGGTCTAGAAACGCTCCACTGGAACCTCTGCAGCCCCTAATAGCATTCTGGCTGGCCAATCACAGCTCTCTAGAGGGGTTTCAAACACATAAAGAGCTGTGATTGGTCCACAATGGTGGGCCAATCATAGTGCTCTATCTGCTTAGTGAACAAATCACAGAGCTTCATCCGCTTTGTGGGCCAATCAGGGCACTCTATATGCCTGGTGGGTGGGATGATGCAACAGAGTGAAACAAGATGGCGACAGCTCGTTTGAAACGGCTTTTACATCCATGTTGGACTATTAGAACTTGGGCTTCGTTTGAATCAGGAGAAGATAGATGTATTTAAGTGCTTTTTTTAGAAAACATTATGTGTTTTCTCCTTCTTCAGCTGTGGACCGCCTCATTTACCGATAGCTGTTGCTGTGAGTATGTCACATTCATTGTCCAGTAGCATGCGGAGATCATTTGAAAGACAACGGTAGAACCCGCCCCACAACCGAGAGCTGTCAATGGAGCATTGCCAGACTAAATAATACATTTATTTAGTCTGGCTTGCCAGGCTAGATAAATACAGGAATCGCTTCCTGATTCCTCACTTCTTCAGCTGCCTCCTGATTAGGCCGACCGGGTGAGTAAAGGTTGGTTTATGCTTGACGCGTCCGCACGGCTCCGCGCGGAAAAGTTGCATCGTTTTGCGCCATTTTAACAACCACGCCCCTCCACGTGCCTCCGCACGGCCCAGAATTTCCGCAACGCGCACCTCGGAAAATTTCTAACCACGCGGTGGACGGACGCGGAAAAACATGGCGGACCGGCAAGAACTAGTATGGCAGAGGTTCGTAAATACAGACATTTGTATGATTCAGCTCTCAAAGATCACTGTGATCAACATGTTGTTAATAATTCTTGGAGAGAAATAGCTCGCACTGTCGGAAAAGACGAGAACGCTGTTAAAAATGCTGGAATGCGGTGTTGTAAACAGTAATTTCTACTTCTACTATGGTGTAGTGTTGGATGCATGCCGTAGAGCTCCATGCTGCCCCGTTCAGTTTGGGAGAATATTGGCTCACCGCAGAGACGAGCCGCACGAACAATAAACGCTGCGAGTTGTGAAACACGTTCCATCTGCGAGCCGCATCACCGCGCGGAAAGTGAATGCGTCAAGCATAAACCAAGCTTAAGCATTTGGGACCATCCTCTCTTTTGACCTCAGGTCTGCAACACTTGCAGTTTATACCAAACAATGGCTCTTAAGAGCCACCGAACAGCCAGCTTCCTGGCGTCACCTGAAGGTATCTCAGACTAGATGGGTCGTGTTCGGAGCTACCTATGGGTTCCATGCACAGAGGTCCCGCCATCGGCAGTGTCCATTGCAACCTCTTGACCCCCTGGATCACCACGGGGACCTTCAAACAAGGGTACAAGACTCGGCACAAATGGCATCAGATGGTTTCATGAATAATCTCTAGCTTATCAAACCACACAGCCAAACTGATTTTACAACCCAGACATCACAAGATCTCTCAGATACTTACAAGGTTCTGCTAAAACATCTAGCTTCCATTCCACCATTTCCTTCATCAGCTGTTATCCTGTACAACCATCATCTCATTCATACTTTGTCTTGTGCGATCTCTCAGTTTAGGCAAATAGAATTAAATTCATTTTTATAAACTGTGTCCTTGACTCTGTCTGAATTTATGTGAAGTGCGTTCCCTGAATAGGAAAGAACCTAAAGTAATATTAAGTCAAATATTCAAAGACCAATAAGGTTCATATTATGTGGAATATCACGTTTTATTGATCATTTAACAAATAATGTAGCTACTCCTCACCGCTACATTAAATGGCGAGCCAATCCAATCCAATCATAACATTTCATATTAGGTACATACTTTCTACAGTTTGAAATCTCTGTGCTTGGTTTGGGTCTGCTGAAACAAGACGTGCCTTCCGTCTCCCCTCTCTCAGAGCACTGACTCAACTCACGACCAAGTCTGTAACTGCTCAAAGCTTTTGCTCACAAGACTGTTTTACCATCAAAAGGGAGTGAATGTGTTTATAATTGTGTGTATTTGTCACTTATTTGTGTTTCTGCTTGTGTATAAGTTGGAATAAAGCAAGCTCTAAACCCACCGTTAACCAAGGCCGGGTACTTACGGTGTTTGTGGACCATAAACCCTTCACCTTCTCCACGTCCAAGACGGCCGAACCGTGGTCTGCACACCAACAACATCAGCTCTCCTTCATCTCGGAGTACACCACGGACATCGGACACATCTCCAGGAAGTCCAACGTGGTGGCGGATTGTCTTTCCAGAGCCTCCATCAGGATAGTGCAGCTGGGCCTAGACTTCTCCAGCATGGGTGCCAACCAAGACAAAGATCCTGAGATCCAGGCGCTCAGAGGTTCTGACACAGGTCAGCTGGTGAGGGGTACCAAAAGTCTCCGCGCCCTGGTCGTGGTCAATACCGAGTCTATTTTAAAGAAAAGGGGGATCACAGTACTCTAACCCAGGGCCAAGATCTGATTCTGGGAGGGTATCTCCTGATGGCCTGTGCAGTGAGCTGAGATCTGCCCTTCGTACCTTGGACAAAGACCCATCTAAGACTAAGAATGTTCTGCTTGTCTCTTCTGCAGGCCCAAGTGTAAATCCTCGTGCAACTATGCCACCTGCGCATGACCTTACCGTAAAGATGAGCCCTCCAAATGTGGAACCTGCCCCGATAGTGCGGCCCGTAACACCTGTGACCCCAGTGGGGTCTGGTGAGGTCGCTTCCATTAGCATTAGTCCTCGAGCATCCAATGCACCTGTCAGCGGGTCAAGTAACCCTTTCCCGGGGGACAAACCTCAACTAAGATCTCTCTGCGGAATCATCTGTAAAGGTCTCAAACTGAAACATCACATTCCTGTGACGCTTGAGGGGTCACTTGGCTGTGATGCTAACCTAGACACCGGTTCAGATGTTTCCATCTTGTCCTGTTCTCTTTGGGAAAGCCTCCACTTGGCTGCAGCTGGACAGGGTTGTGTCTTAACACCCACACCCTGCGCCATGGATGTCTGTCCTTATGCTCCGTCTCCAGTGACCTTGTCTTTGTCTTTCCTTGACCTTTCGGTGGGTCACATGTGGGTGCATCACCCCATGTTCCTGCCTGACCTTGAATCTTTTCCTTTCCTGTTTGGCAAAGACCTGCTCAATTCCTTTATGCCCATTATTGACCTCTTTGAGTTGAAGCTCTGGACTTGGTTAACTCAACCGCTGCCCATGAAGCTCCCCCAGGACCTCATTTCTACCTTAGGTGTTGTTAACAACAACAGCGACACCCAGGTGGCCAGTTTGGTGTTTCTCTGGTCAGTGACAGGCCGTGTCTGCATTGTCTCTGCACCTGAAGCCCCACGCCCTGCAGTGAGATCACCACTTACCAAGGGGGGGGGGGGTCGAAGGCCAATCTGACCCTCCGCTAGTGACCCCTTGCCCTGCAGTGGGTTCACTACGTGCCGAAGGGGGGTCGAAGGCCACTCTGACTCTGCACCATTGCAGTCGGCACCAGAGACCCCTCACCCTGAAGTGGGTCCTTTGCCCACCGAAGGGGGGATGAAGGTCGTCCTGTACTGCTACAGGCTGACTCTGTTCGTTCTGGCCGTATCTGTGCGTCGACTGTTGGCCCTTCGAAGCGCATCCCAGCGCCAAGCACTCGACAGGCCACTCCTGCGCCAGTCTATAGTCTCCATCTTCCCACATTACAGGTTTCTGGTGTAGCGTGATGAATTGTCCATTTCTGACCTAAAAGGCCCTGCTCTGTTTTGCTCTGCTGAAGCAAAACCAGAAGTTTCTGACACAAACCTAATCTACAAGGATGGATCAAGGCCACTTATCCTCTGTGCTTATCTAAACTGTTGCTTCTCCGAACAACACAAGAAAGAAGAAAAGAAGACAGAACTCCTTCTACTTAAATAGTAATCAAATAACTTTGTTAGTCCAAATAATCATGTGAAGCTATGTTCAATCAGTCTGTGGAATGAAAACATTAATTACTTGATACTATAATCCTATTATAGAATATAATAAGTAATATAACTTTAAATATTTCCACTAGAGACTGATCACACGTAATGCTAAAGTCACATGACACATTTCCTTTTTCTGATCTAATCAGAACCTTCCAGATCTGATGCGAGGCGTGGTTTTGTTGGTGCTTGGTACATTCCCCTCTTGTTGTCCTTTTGTGATTCGACCGTAAATCAAAACATCCAAATTATAAAACTATGCCCACATCATCTTAACTTCAGTTCAAAGCGTTCTAGAGAAGTTGTCAGAGTAGCCAATCCGTAAACTTTCCTCTTCAGCCGAAAGAACCAACGACAAGCTGGATGAAATCTGTTGCATGTTCCACCTGCTGCAACGGTTCCTTTCAGAATAAAGGCTGAACCATCACGACCCAGGTTTGGGTCTCACTAGATGCCAATAAAACTGTCGTGACCTGGAAGTATCGCAAGACTGTTCTGGTCGGCAGCTGCTGCTTTGCTGGTTCCAGAGGAGGTCAAGCTGGACCTCAACATTCCTGATCTAACGGGGACTTCCGCTAAGGGTACGTAGACCGACAGAATGGCGTCTCAATGTGTGTCATAAATCTCCAAACCAAAGCTTAGAGCAAAACATCATCTTCACTTCCACCAGAACTAATCGTTTCTCCGGATTTGCTGGTTCTGAACATACTTCACACATACACCGTCCTCAGTCTTACTTCACCTTAGTTACATCATACACCTAGTGTTAAAGTTAGTCTTGTTTAATTTGTTTAGTAATAAATCTTTAAACTTTTAAACCTGACTCACTCTCTTTTCTTGAAGTTGATATGAAGTGTTGCTCAATCCCTACAATAAAAAGATCCGATCTTCTGGTTAAATTTACTCAAAGATCCATTAAGGTGATATTTCACATTTAATGGTTTCTAATTAAATGTAATGACATATTCACTACACTGGCCAAACTAATGGCGCGTCGGCACGGTCGGGGATCAGTCGGAGTGGATGGCGTGAGTTCGGTCTCAAACTAGGCAGTGTAGTGTTCAATCCGAGGGTCTTCTCAGGAATGTGGAAATCCTCAAGCATGTGGTCAGGCGCTTAATGTGCATGGGAAAGTCTGCGGTGTCCCCCATGATAAGGTAAACAAAAGTGGACATGAGCTGTGTTGCTTTTGAAGACTCTGAACCACATTATTTTATTAATTTGCTGTGTGTCCACATAATCTTGTGCCACACACACACGCACACAGACACAGACACACACACACACACACACACACACACACACACACACACACACACACACACACACACACACACACACACACACACACACACACACACACACACACACACACACAGAGCAGCTCCATGCTACAGACAGAAGTTTACTCAACAGCATCCAGCATGAAATGAATCGTGCATGACTCTGAATTGTTTGTGTGTGTGTTTGTGTGTGTGTGTGTGTGTGTGTGTTTGTGTGTGTGTGTGGTTGTATGTGTTAGTGTTAGCACTGTGGCTGTAGTTATAGCCACCGTGAGGGTTGGCAGCCCAGATGATGAAATTAAGGTGTGGATAACAATCTCTGAATAGGGAGCCTAAGCCACGCCCATCTACTTCCACACCACGGGTCCACAGAAAAACGAAAAATGAACACAAGTTAACGGGGATAAAAACGTTTTTTTTTTTCCAATTCCGCTTGTTTTGTGCAATGGATTTCACATATGATGATATGATGTCCGTGAAATCTAAAGACATTTTGATACCAAGAACTTGCTTATTTCCGAACAGGGAGAATTGTTATTTTAGATTTTGTGTGAAAACAAGTCCAGGACTACAAATGTGCTTCATAAAAATGACATCATCAAACCAGACACGGAGAAAAACAGAGGGAAAATGGCTGTAAGTTCAACGTACTTATCCTTCTTTCAGGAGGAAAAAAAACCACAGTAAATCTGGTCATGTGGTGAGTAGCAGCTATGCTAGGGGAGAGGAGCTTATGTGGTGACATTACATATGCGACGTGCTGATTTCTGTTTTGTAGTCATGCTAATTACGAACTTTTACAAGCTGATTAATCTCAAAGTACGTGACCGGCGTGGTCGAAGCACCCACCATTAGTTTTCATTTAAATAGAAGTACAACATATGTGAGATCCAGGGTCAAAGGCAATGAGAATTAGAAAATAGCTCTTTTAGCTCAGGGGTCCCATGAGCCGACCGGAAGGGGAGGAGACTTAAGGCTCCCTGTGTGATAGCCTCTCAGAGGTGGACGTGGTTCGTTTCGGGGGTATCTCCAGATTGATGTAAGAGGTGATGGATTTTCCAACGCTCCTGAACGCCTCTCTAGTCGCTCTGGGGAATGACGTGTCAGAAAGACCCGGAAGTTGTCATTCTGTCCAAAATGGCTTACCAGACTTTACAGCAGCAATATTTACAGATTCCTCCTGTTACCAGAGCTTACACGACGGCCTGCGTCCTCACCACCGCGGCAGTGGTAAGACCAACCCAACCGAACCTCTCCTTCTTCTCGCTCTCGCGGAAGCTCAGTTCTGTCCTACGAACAGAACCTCCGGCTGCCGTTCTGGAGGAGATTCGTGCCTGAAACTGATGGATCGAGAAGTCCGTTGCTTTCTAGAGCAAACGGAACCGATTTCAGCTCAGAACCGGGACCGAACACAAAGAGCTTTTCATCTGGTTTCTCTGGTTCTGATTCTGGGTCGTGCAGCTGCGGGTAGAATCTACCGGTTCGTTACGTCACAGACTCCTCTGAACACCTGGACTTCAGGTACCAGATCCAACCTGAACCGGAGCAGCCTGAGATGATCTGCTGGTGTTCAGGTTCTGGTTCCGAGGACCGGTACCAAATTTGCTCAAAGAAAGCAACAGTAATGATTTTTTTCTGATAGACGTTTAAATTCTTAGTTTAAAAGTGATGTTAATGATGGTGCGTTCAGGGACCTATAATAACAGGTTAAAGCGAGCATGTCTGGTTCTGGTCACTAACCGCTGCACCATTAAAGGACAGCTGTATAAAACCCTGATTCATCTCACTATTGTTCACTTTTAGAGAAATAAAACCTTTTGAGTTTTGAAAACTTCTGAAGTTTCCGTCCATCCATCAGATCTTTACCTGTGGAGTCTCAAAATCAGGCCATTTTGTGACGTTCCTGTGTGAATGGATGAATGATTCACTGTAAGGTAAAGAGCTTTGGGAGTCCTCTGACTCAGAAAGGTGTTCAAGTGCAGATTGTTTATTAAGCAGCCGCTAACTAGTGGCCAATGTCACCCAGACAACCCCTCTTCTCCGTTGCTGCTGCTGAGTGGAGGTCTTACTCGTACAACACTGGAGTCCCAAAGTGTTTGATAGAGCCTGAAACTGAAACAGGTTTCAGCTGCAGGACATTTCTGAAACAAGGAAGTGAAAATAAGGTTTTAGTTCTTAAGGTTAGAAGCTAGAATTTAGTGCATCAGTCATTCATCCATTCACACGTTCACCCACTTGTGGTGATGAGCCACAGCTGCTCTGGGGCACACTGACAGAAGGTAGGCTGCCGTACACAGTCCCTCCAACCACCATCGTAAGGAGGATGAAGTTTCCATCCCAAGGACACAACTGACATGACTAGAAGCCTGGATTTGAACCTGTAACCCTCCGATTACAGAGCAGACTCCTAACCCCTGAGCCACCGTCGCCCTGAAACCTGAACTCCTCCAGATCTTCTTTCATCATAACAATTGGACCAAAACCCAGAACCAGACAAGACCTGAATCCCTCCTGTCAGGTACAGAGTGCAGTCAGTGTGGTCTGGCCCCGCCCCCTCAACATGAATGAAAATTCACAATTTTAACACCTTTTAATTTCTCGTTATGGCAGTAGCCTAGACATTACGGCAGTAGCTTAGACGTTACGCCAGTAGCTTAGACGTTACGGCAGTAGCTTAGACGTTACGGCTAGGGCTGCAACAACGAATCGATAAATTCGATGAAAATCGATTACTAAAAGCGTTGGCAACGAATTGCGTCATCGATTCGTTGTGTCGCACAACTCTTCCAAAAGCGCCCCCCCTTCCCGCCCGCCGTTGCGCACAGACCAAAGCAAGTCAGATCAGCGCGAGGGAGAGCCGCAGATCAGCGCGAGGGAGAGCCTGCAGACTTGCGCTGCTGCGAACCGGTTCCGCATTGTTGCGCAGCGATCCAGGCAGCTGCTTCCAGCGCACGGTCCATTCTCAAAGTGGCGCAACCAAAAAACTATAATTAGCATACGATCGTTCTTGTCTGCACATGTTCTCTATTTTCTGTCTTATTTGTGCCTGAAGCGCGCTACTGCGGAGCTCATCACCTGTGCTGTGGTGATGTCACCTCACGCAGCATCGAAAACGCGCTCTGCGCTTTGCGGTCAGGAGATCTCTTTGATCTGCTCAAAAGTAACTGATGAGGTTAAAAGGTAAGAATCCAGGCAACAGTTTTTCTGGAGAATTATGAGGAGATGCAGGAAGATGAGAGACCGACAGGACAGGAAAATAGTTCAATAAAAACAAGAAAACAAAGTAAAATGTAGGTAGATTTATCTCCACTACACTTTTTTCCAGTAAAAAACAATAAGTTATACACGTCATATTTATACATCTGATACAATTCAGATCACCTTCAAAACTCAGTCACACACCCAGGGCCGTTTCAAGACATTTTGGGGGCCAAGGCAAAATGCCCTCCCCCCTCCATAACTGGGCTCCCCAGAAGCCTCTGTGTAATTCATACCCTCTCCAGTAGTGTTAGTTATACAGTGTTTATAAAAGCCCCTCAGACATTACTGACATGTTCTAATATTATCAGATGAAAAACTAAATTATCAGACATGCTGTCTCATCTGCTTCTTTTCTAAACTTGCAAAAAGTAACAAAACCATTTGAAAGCCACTATTTGTGGATTCTCTGAAAGTTTCCATGGAGTGTGTGACAACTTATTTTTTCATTGATCCTATCGTCTAATCTCACAGCTGAAACAAGCATCCTTAATAATCTGTGCACAGGAAGCTTACTGATGCTGTAGTAAAACAAAAGGTAGTTTCTTATTAATAAAACCTTGTTGCAGCACTAAAGCATAAAAATGAGATTTTGCATTAAATATGCAAAATATTTACATATGAATTGTTTTAGAGCCCTTTAATTGGCAGAATCTGATATTAATTTAGTTCTTACAAAAAATGGGTCCCAACGTGGTTTGTGTGGCGTTGCCATAGTGTGACGTCATAGGCACAGATTCCCTGTCCTCTTGTTTGGAAATGGAAATATGATCACCCTATATTAAACAAACTGTCCACCCGGGCTTTTGCGCTGCACAGAGACGCTTCGCTGCCAATGACTTTGAACGTCAGTTGAGAGTCAGTCTCATGCAGACTGACCAATGAAGAGAGGGCCTCAAGTTAAGACCCTCTCCTCACTGGTCAGTCCACACGAGGTGGGTCAAAGGTTACTCTGGGCGGGTTACGTGTTGTCAGGCATTCAAGTATTGAGTATATTTACTGCGTATTACAGTAAAATATTCTGTATGTGACCACATTATGGTGATCCTTGGGTCGTGATGATGGAGCCCTTGAATATTGTTGCCCAGGGTACAACAAAGTGTTAATCTGGCCCTGGTTCCGCCGTCACATTCCCGCAGAAACTGGTTGATCACACCGGGGCCAGACTACTAGCATGTGGTTTTACAACCACAATGTCCTCGGAAGCAAAAACGCTTTTAAAAGGGAGGGAGGAGTCCTAACTGTTGCTGCAGGCGTGTTGTGTGAGAGTGCAGTTATATACTGGTTAATATATTTTTGGGTTCAGTTGCTTTCATGTGGCCTAATGTGAGTCTATTTGGGATCATTGGAATGATCAGCAGCATTTCTTGATGTGACTTTATGGCAGTTGCCCAGGGCATCATCGCAAGGAGAATGGCATTCATTTACTTTTGTTTTATTTGGTATTTTTTCAGTCATTTTTGGAAATGGTGATCAATTTTGATTAATTCACAGCCTATGTTTAATTACATTTAAAATAAATGTCAACAGATGAGATCAAACAAAACAGATGAGAATTGCCCTTAAGCTGTTTAACTTGGACCAAGCATTTTAGGTCACAGATAGATGTAGCTTAGGGTCTCTGTCTATACACCTTATAAGACAATTTAGGTGATGGCATGTTGTTTTTCTGCTATTGAACTGTTTTCTAATAATGTTGTGTTAAATAAAGTGAAGGAAGGAGAGAAATAATGTTTCCCTAGCAGTTTTTAAAAATTTCCCCATGTAATCTGATTAATCGATTAATCGTGTCAAGACCCCGTCCGATTAATCGATTATCCAAATAATCGTTTGTTGCAGCCCTAGTTACGGCAGTAGCTTAGACGTTACGGCAGTAGCTTAGATGTTACGGCAGTAGCTTAGATGTTACGGGGACGGCAGTAGCTTAGACGTTACGGCAGTAGCTTAGACGTTACGGGGACGGCAGTAGCTTAGACGTTACGGCAGTAGCTTAGACGTTACGGCAGTAGCTTAGACATTACGGCAGTAGCTTAGACGTTACGGCAGTAGCTTAGACGTTACGGCAGTAGCTTAGATGTTACGGGGACGGCAGTAGCCTAGACGTTACGGCAGTAGCTTAGACGTTACGGCAGTAGCTTAGATGTTACGGCAGTAGCTTAGATGTTACGGCAGTAGCTTAGATGTTACGGGGACGGCAGTAGCTTAGACGTTACGGCAGTAGCTTAGATGTTACGGCAGTAGCTTAGATGTTACGGGGACGGCAGTAGCTTAGACGTTACGGCAGTAGCTTAGATGTTACGGCAGTAGCTTAGATGTTACGGGGACGGCAGTAACTTAGACGTTACGGCAGTAGCTTAGATGTTACGGCAGTAGCTTAGATGTTACGGCAGTAGCTTAGATGTTACGGCAGTAGCTTAGATGTTACGGGGACGGCAGTAGCTTAGACGTTACGGCAGTAGCTTAGATGTTACGGCAGTAGCTTAGATGTTACGGGGACGGCAGTAGCTTAGACGTTACGGCAGTAGCTTAGATGTTACGGCAGTAGCTTAGATGTTACGGGGACGGCAGTAACTTAGACGTTGCGGCAGTAGCTTAGACGTTACGGCAGTAGCTTAGATGTTACAGGGACGGCAGTAGCTTAGACGTTACGGCAGTAGCTTAGACATTTCGGCAGTAGCTTAGATGTTACAGGGACGGCAGTAGCTTAGACATTACGGCAGTAGCTTAGACATTACGGCAGTAGCTTAGATGTTACGGGGACGGCAGTAGCTTAGACGTTACGGCAGTAGCTTAGACATTACGGCAGTAGCTTAGACATTACGGCAGTAGCTTAGACGTTACGGCAGTAGCTTAGATGTTACGGGGACGGTAGTAGCTTAGACATTACGGCAGTAGCTTAGACATTACGGCAGTAGCTTAGACGTTACGGCAGTAGCTTAGATGTTACGGGGACGGTAGTAGCTTAGACATTACGGCAGTAGCTTAGACGTTACGGCAGTAGCTTAGACGTTACGGATACGACAGTAGCTCAGATGGGTGGAATGTGTTGTGAAGCGCTTTTGGGGGCTTGTAGATCCCTCCATCACTTACCATTTCTCGGCCCATAAACCATAATTTTGTAAGGAACCACGCTGATTCAAGATCCTTTTATTGCACAGCTGTACAACGACGCTGACTTTCACTCGTTATAGACGGCACGCTTAAAGAGCAAGTCAACCCCTACCAGAGTCTAACTCCACTCCCACTTCATGTTTGAAAAATGCAACAAATGCTGTTGCCTGTCAGACCGAGAGGGCGGAGCCGCTAACAAACACACACACACACAGGTTCACAACAGCATTGTGACATCATAATGTACCAGTTTACATCATAGCATACTTCTTAGCCAATAGCGGTGGTAGATTTAAATTCAAATACAGTGCATAGTTTTTACCTGACAACGGCACAACACTGACAGTTTTAGGCAGAATATTTAAATTTTAACTAAGATGCACTGAAGTGCCAAATTATTGACGACACGTGTCTGCAGCACGATTAGACACTCGTTTGTTTAGTTTATCAGCAAAAAAAAGTTGATTTGGGGGTGACTTGCTCTTTAAGGAGGCAGTAAAATAAACATGTTAATGAACATTTCTTAAAAAGCTGCCTCGTTACTGATAAGCACCTCCCACAACGGGGATGCACATTTTGGCAGCCGCGCTCTTTACGGCACAACCCCGGCTTGGTGGCGCCCCGACGGGCTGGGAGGTGTCAGCAGACCCGTCAGTCGACCTGAGCTGCAAATAATCAGCAGATTCCATCAGCTGATCAGAGTCGGAGAGCCTGAGGCGAAGATCGTTTGTTGTGTCGTGAATCAGAACTCATTACGCTGAGTTTATTGTTGCCTTTAATAAAGTGGTTAGTCGTTTTTAGATCTCAGCGGTTCAGCCCGTCTCTCTGCTGTTTGTTTGTTTTCCAGCATCAGAGGAACCCGTCTGCTCTGGAACCAAAGAAAATTAATTTAGTTATTTTATAGTTTCTTTTGCTCCTGAAACCATCTTTATGGGCTTTTATTTGTCAGGATAAATTTATTTCCTTCTGTCTAATAAAATGGCCGATGTCGGCGGTGTTAACGGGTTCCATTTCCTCTTGTAGCAACTGGAGATCATCACACCGTTTCAGCTCTACTTTAATCCAGACTTAATCCTGAAGAATTACCAGGTGAGACTTGATGGAGTCACTGCTTCCTGTTTCTGATTATTATCACCATCTAATTATTCCTCCTTTTATTTCGTAGGTATGGCGTCTGATCACCAACTTCCTGTTTTTTGGTCCAGTTGGCTTCAACTTCCTGTTCAACATGATCTTTCTGTATCCTCTGGTTCTGGTTGTCTGTGGTCCCAGGAGAGGTCCATTTGCATGTCTCTGTTTCAGGTCTTGTTTCTTTAGCTTCGCTGATCCAGTCTGACGAGATCGGTGTCGGTTCTCCAGATGTTCTTCGGGGGTTCAGTTGTTGCATCAGAAAAACCTGAGTCCAAATAAACCTCCCTAGAACATCTAGGCCTCGCTGGCAGGCTCAGGAGGTCCAGCTGAGCCTGGTTCAGGTTTTGGACTGTGGGTCCTTTAGAACCACCAGGTTCTGTTTCCTTAACGACCCGGTCTCAGGTACAGGTACTGCCGGATGCTGGAGGAGGGCTCGTTCAGGGGCCGAACAGCTGACTTTGTCTTCATGTTCCTGTTCGGCGGACTGCTCATGACTGTATCCTTAAAAAAAGCTCTGTGCCCCCACCACTGAAGGCTCCATCAGAACTTCTTTAACGAGGTTCCAGATCTTCGGCATGTTTGTGAGCCTGGTCTTCCTGGGACAGGCCTTCACCATCATGCTGGTGTACGTGTGGAGTCGGAGGAATCCCAACGTTAGGATGAACTTCTTCGGCCTCCTGAACTTCCAGGCCCCTTTCCTGCCCTGGGTTCTGATGGGTTTCTCGCTCCTGCTGGGTAACTCCATCATCGTGGACCTGCTGGGTTGGTGTCAGCTGACTGAAGTGGAGCGTAGGGCAGCTGTGCTGCTACGTGGTTTAACATGTTTTTAACGGTCTTCTAGGGATCGCCGTGGGTCACGTGTACTTCTTTCTGGAGGATGTTTTTCCCAACCAGCCTGGAGGAGGAAGGTGGCTGAAGACGCCGTCCATCATGTGAGTCTCCAGTTCCTCCTCCTTTCATTCAGACGCTCCCAAACACATCAGCTGACTGGAATCAGCCCAAACTCAGAATTCGGGTTGGGTCATCAGAATCAGAATCTCTTACTCACTTTAAATGGTAAAAGCCTGTATTTGTTATAGCGTATTCTAGTGTCCTGGAACTCCCCAAGGCACTTTACAACCCAATCAGTCATCCACTCATTCACACACACATTCACACCCAGGTGGTGATGAGCTACATTGTAGCCACAGCTGCCCTGGTACAGCGAGGCTGCCATACACAGGCGCCATCTGTCCCTCTGATCCCCACCAGCAGGCAAGGTGGGTTAGGTGTCTTGCCCAAGGACACGACAACAGACTGAGTGAGGCTCGAACCTGCGACCTTCCAATTACAGGGTGAGCACTTAACTTCTGTGCCGCCGTCGCCCCTTTCACTTTAGAATTCTAAAAGCAGGTTTTTCTCCTCTGGACCCCAGGTGGACCTGGTCTTCCCGTCATCCAGTTCAGAGTAATCAGAGGGTGTTTCTCAGTGTCAGGCCTGCTCCTTAAATACCCCACGATGGATGATCGATGATCTTCTACTGCTGCTCCGGACATGCTCACCTGCAGAGTAGCAGACTCAGAAACTTTGTGAATGAGGGAAAACAAACTGATTGTGATAGTATCGGTATTGATTTGGTTTATATCGGTATCTATTTGGTTTACATTGGTATTTGTTTGGTTTATATCAGTATCTGTTTGGTTTATATCGGTATCTGGTTTATATCGGTATCTGTTTGGTTTATATCGGTATCTATTTGGTTTACATTGATATTTGTTTGGTTTATATCGGTATCTGTTTGGTTAATATCGGTATCTGTTTGGTTTATATTGGTATCTATTTGGTTTACATTGGTATTTGTTTGGTTTATATCTGTATCTGTTTGGTTTATATCGGTATCTGTTTGGTTTATATCGGTATATGTTTGGTTTATATCGGTATATGTTTGGTTTATATCGGTATCTGTTTGGTTTATATTGGTATCTATTTGGTTTACATTGGTATTTGTTTGGTTTATATTGGTATCTATTTTGTTTACATTGGTATTTGTTTGGTTTATATCTGTATCTGTTTGGTTTATATTGGTATCTATTTGGTTTACATTGGTATTTGTTTGGTTTATATCTGTATCTGTTTGGTTTATATTGGTATCTATTTGGTTTACATTGGTATTTGTTTGGTTTATATTGGTATCTATTTGGTTTACATTGGTATTTGTTTGGTTTATATCTGTATCTGTTTGGTTTATATTGGTATCTATTTGGTTTACATTGGTATTTGTTTGGTTTATATTGGTATCTATTTGGTTTACATTGGTATTTGTTTGGTTTATATCTGTATCTGTTTGGTTTATATTGGTATCTATTTGGTTTACATTGGTATTTGTTTGGTTTATATCGGTATCTGTTTGGTTTATATCGGTATCTATTTGGTTTACATTGGTATTTGTTTGGTTTATATCTGTATCTGTTTGGTTTATATTGGTATCTATTTGGTTTACATTGGTATTTGTTTGGTTTATATCGGTATCTGTTTGGTTTATATCGGTATCTATTTGGTTTACATTGGTATTTGTTTGGTTTATATCTGTATCTGTTTGGTTTATATCGGTATCTATTTGGTTTATATTGGTATCTATTTGGTTTACATTGGTATTTGTTTGGTTTATATTGGTATCTATTTGGTTTACATTGGTATTTGTTTGGTTTATATCTGTATCTGTTTGGTTTATATCGGTATCTATTTGGTTTACATTGGTATTTGTTTGGTTTATATCTGTATCTGTTTGGTTTATATTGGTATCTATTTGGTTTATATTGGTATTTGTTTGGTTTATATCGGTATCTGTTTGGTTTATATCGGTATCTGTTTGGTTTATATCGGTATCTATTTGGTTTACATTGGTATTTGTTTGGTTTATATCGGTATCTGTTTGGTTTATATCGGTATCTGTTTGGTTTATATTGGTATCTATTTGGTTTACATCGGTATTTGTTTGGTTTATATCGGTATCTGTTTGGTTTACATCGGTATCTGTTTGGTTTAAATCGGTATCTGTTTGGTTTATATTGGTATCTATTTGGTTTACATTGGTATTTGTTTGGTTTATATCGGTATCTGTTTGGTTTATATTGGTATCTATTTGGTTTACATCGGTATTTGTTTGGTTTATATCGGTATCTGTTTGGTTTACATCGGTATCTATTTGGTTTATATCGGTATCTGTTTGGTTTATATCGGTATCTGTTTGGTTTATATCGGTATCTATATAGTTTAGACGGGGCGACGGTGGCACAGGAGTTAAGTGCTCGCCCCGTAATCGGAAGGTTGCAGGTTTGAGCCCCGCTCAGTCTATCGCTGTCGTTGTGTCCTTGGGCAAGACACTTAACCCACGTTGCCTGCTGGTGGTGGTCGGAGGGACCGGTGGCGCCAGTGCTCGGCAGCCACGCCTCTGTCAGTGCCCCCCAGGGCAGCTGTGGCTACATCGTAGCTCATCCCCACCAGTGTGTGAATGTGTGAATGACTGATTGTGTTGTAAAGTGCCTTGGGGGGGGGGTTTCAAGAACTCTAGAAGGCGCTATATCAAATACAGGCCATTCACCATTTGTATCGGTATTGGTTCAGTTTATATCGGTATCTGTTTGGTTTATATCCGTATCGGGACAGTTAAATCCATATTGGAAATTAAGACAGTATCGGTTTATTGGTAAAAATGCCAACATCAAGTATCCCTAAGAAAAATGTAATAAACTCAGCAGCTCAGTGATCATTAAGTACCAGGTCCAGATGACCAGAACCGGGTCTTGGCACCAGTTCTGTTTCCCTGACCCATTCTAAAGATCTCAAATTAATAAGACTTTATTTACTTAAAACCTTTACTTGGTGAGTTTACTGACCCGAAATGGGCTGGGTCAGATCACCAGGACATCTTCTAACCATCTCTAGTTTTCACCCCCACAGAAAGATGCTGTTCGACTCCCCGGAGGAGGAGGATGCCAACTACAACCCGCTGCCCGAGGACCGACCCGGAGGCTTTGCATGGGGAGAAGGCCGGCGCCTCGAAGGTTAACACAGCAGCCTGAGTCGGACCGGGTCATATCAGGACCTTCTCTGAGACATGTGAAGGAGACTGACATGCTGCTTGTTTAGCTGTGGTGAAGGACGCTATAGGAGCAGAACCAGTTTGGACCTGGTATCTGTTGTTTGTGTTTGTGAGCTGTAATCATCTCCAGAACCTTGGACATCAGACTTCAGCTCCAGCTTTGGACTTCTGACAAACAGTGGACACAGTCTCTGGACTCAGACGATGTCTGATGAAATATTAACGTTCATTCAGAGGGTCAGTCCCTTTTTCATTTCACCTTTTTAAAAGAATAAATATGTGTTGCAGAAGGTTCTGTGGTTTCTTTTGTCTGGAGTAAAAAACAAACACGAGGAGGCACTTCCTGCTCGTCACAGGTAAAAGAAAACAAAACGAAACAGGGAAGGGGGGGCTGTGGTAAAATCTCAGTTTGGGACATCACAAAAGAAATGACCCATTTTAGGCAGAAGTCCTGAAACCAAACTGTGACCTTATTTTATGTCTGGGTTGTTTCTAGAGGCAGGAAGTGAGTTTTGTGTAAAATGTTCCTTTAATGGATGCATTAACCTCAGCACTCACACTGCGCCCTGCAGTCTTCTGCAAAGTGCACAGTAAGGCTTAAGTGTGTAAATAATCTCCAAACTGAGGCATCAATCACAACACATGCTGGGATGCTGGCCGCTGTCATACTTTTTCAAAAACCTTTATTAACAACTTTCAAACTAACAACCAGACAGTTGTTTGAAATGAATTTAAATTCATTGCTGCTTTGACTACAAGAAAAGAAGAGAATATCATTTCTATAGCGCCTCTCAGGATAAAAATCACGAGACGCTTCACAAAAACAAAAAATGTAAAAATATAAAAAATAATTTAAAAAATGGTTAAAAATATATTTAAAATGAGCAAAAAATAGACAATTGTGATTAAAAAAGAAAAAATGTTAAGAAAGTGAGAGAGTGAACAGGAAAGAGGGAAATCAGTGGATCCTGAGGAAGGTGGAATAGGTGGGGAGAGCAGAATAAAGAGAGAGAGGTGAAGAAGGTCATACAAAAGTCAGCTTGAACAAGTGAGTCTTCAGCTGCTTTTTAAAGGAGACCACTGAGTCCACTGATCTCAGGCTCAGGGGGAGAGAGTTCCAGAGTCTGAGGGCCACAACAGCAAATAATCTGTCACCTTTGGTCTTTAGCCTGGTGCTGCACAACCAGTAGGCTATGATCACTGGACCTCAGGGACCTGCTGGGGGTGTAGGGACTAAGAAGATCACCAATGTAAGATGGTGCTTGTCCATGTAAGGCCCTATAGACCAGAACCAGGATCTTGAAATGAACCCTGAAGTTGACTGGCAGCCAGTGAAGCTGGAGGAGAAGCGGTGTGATGTGGGTGTGTTTGGAGGACTTGGTCAGAAGCCGAGCACAGGCGTTCTGAACCACCTGTAAACGGTTCAGGGAGGTTCTGCTCAGACACGTGAAAAGAGAGTTACAGTAGTCTAAGCGTGAGGAGATGAAGGTGTGGATAACTGTCTCAAGTTCAGAGCGGGACAGAATGGGACTCAGCTTAGCAATGTTCCTGAGATGGAAGAAGGAAGAGTGAACAAGAGAACTGACATGAGAATCCAGGGTGAGAGCTGGGTCAAAGGTCACGCCAAGATTCCTGACAGAAGGTTTGGTGTGAGAAGCAAGCTGACCAAGAGAGTCTCTGACTTTGGGAACCAGCTTGTCTGGGGCACAGATGAGGATCTCAGTCTTATATTCATTCAGCTGAAGAAAGCTCCCACCATCCAGGTTTTGATAGAGTCTAAGCAGGTGTGTAACAGCTGCAGCTTAGACATCTCATGGGGCTTAAAGGAGATGTACAGTTGCTGAAGAGGAAGCAGATAGAGGAGGAAGAGCAGAGGCCCCAGCACAGAACCTTGTGGGACACCATGGGTAAGGGAGGTGGTGGAGGACCTAAACTTGGAGACGGCCACAGAAAAGGAGCGCTCAGAGAGATAAGAGGAGAACCACTCCAGAGCAGATCCTGATAGGCCTACCCAGTCTCTCAGCCTCTCCAGTAGCAGGTGATGGTCAACAGTGTCAAAGGCTGCAGTCAGGTCCAGCAGGACCAGAACAGAACAGTCCCCTGCATCACTGTGAGTCAGGCCATTAGAGACCCTAAGAAGAGCTGTTTCAGTAGAATGAGCTCTAAGAAAATCCTGACTGGAAGCTATCATAGATGTTATGTTCGTCAAGAGCAGCTGTGAGTTGTTTAGCCACAACCTTTTCCAAGATCTTGGAGATGAACGGAAGTTTAGAGATGGGTCTGAAGCTGCTATGGAGAGAGGGGTCGAGACTCGGTTTTTTAAGAAGCGGCTGGATTACAGCATTCTTAAAGTAAGCAGGGACCTGACCAGAGACCAGAGAAGCATTAATTATAGAGCGCACGCTGGGACCGATGGACTGAAAAGCACTTTTAAACAAAGATGAGGGTAAGATGTGGAGGGGGCATGCAGAGGTCTTGATAGAGTTAACTAGTTTGGTTAACTCAGGCAAAGAAACAGGAGCAAAGCTATCTAGGATGATGGGCCTGGTTGGAGTCGGGAGAGGCAGCGATAAGGCTGAAGGAGAGATGCTAGATCTAACCTTATTGACTTTGTCCACAAAGAAAGACAGAAAGTTCTCACAGTCTGCAACAGAGTGGGTGGAGGCTGTAGGAGAGGCAGGAGAGACGATGCTGCTGATGGTGTTAAACAGCACCTTGGGGTTCCCTTTGCTCTGGGACACCAGGTTGGAGAAATAGGAAACCCTCACGTCTCTGACTGCAGAGTTGTCAGAAGATCCTTTAGGTGCAGCGGATGGACGTGGAGATGGGTTTTCTTCCACAAACGCTCAAATTTTCTGCATTGGCGCTTCAGGCTGCAAAGGCTGTCATTAAACCAGGGAGTAGGGTTCACTGCAGGAACTGATCTGGTTCTGACAGGACAGATGTTGTCCAGAATGGAGAGGCAGTGCTCATTAAACTGAGAAGTTAAGGAATCTGGGTCGTTATCAGAAGAACAGGGTGGATCAAAAGCAGCAGAAACATTGCTAGCTGTGCTCTCATTAAGAAAACAAGAACTAACCATACGGCGAGCAGGAGGTGGGGACGCAGAAAAAGACAAGTTAAAGAAAATGCAATGGTGATCTGAAATATAGACGTCGTCAGGACAAACACTGTCAGCATGTAGACTCAGGGTAAAAACAAGGTCCAGAGTGTGTCCCCTGGTGTGGGGGGCCAGAAACAAGCTGGGTAAAGCTGAAGGAGTCCATAAGGCTGGAGAAATTCATGGCAAAGTGATCAGAGGGATCATCAACGTGGATGTTAAAGTCACCAACATTCACCAGTCTGGACAGCAAGCGTCTAACAAGTGTTAGAGCATTAAGAAAAAAGGCGGAAATGCTGACTGTACCGCGCGGCGCTGTAGTCAAAAATGGCATCTGGTGATGGCGCAAACATCTTTTTTTAAGAAGAAAGGCTTTTCGCACTTTACCAATGTTTCCCACAAGGAAGCATGGGGCTGGCTGGTCAGGCTACAGAGGACAGCCAGTGGTCTTTAGATTCATGAAGCAGCAACAGCTTGGATTATTGTTTTCATACAAACTTCATTACATTTTTCAATTCAGTTCAGTTTATTTCTAAAGCGCCAAATCAAGACCAGAGTCGCCTCAAAGACCTTCACACAGTAAACATTCCAGTATGTCAGGTCATTAAGCCAATCAGTAAAAGGTTTCCTATATAAAGAACCCAGCAGGTTGTATCAAGTCACTGACTAGTGTCAGTCTTCACAGCAATCCTCATACTAAGCAAGTATGCAGCGAAAGTGTAGAGGAAAACTCCCTTTTAACAGGAAGAAACCTCTAGAGGATCCTGTATAAGCAGCCATCCACCATGACTCACTGGGGATGGAGAAGACAAAGCGCGCGCACACACACACACATACACACACACACACACACACACACACACACACACACACACACACACACACACACACACACACACACACACACACACACACACACACACACACACACACCAAGTAATGTTTCTATGGTTACATTGTGATTTCTTAGTAAATGTTCTAATTGGTGAGAGATAAACTTTATTGTATTTATCCTAGTGAATCTATAATTAAACGGGTAAACTAGTAGTAGCACATTCAATGTCAAAGAGAGTAAAGTGTTATTATCAGGAGAGGGAGAATGTTTAAGTGGTTAGCAGCAGTGTGCTAGACGATGGCCCCCTCCATGAGGCCACCACAGCTCAGCAGAACATCATTGTAGCTTCTTCTGGGGAGAAAAACACTTAGAGAAAAAATAAAGTTAACAGCTGAAATAGCAGGAAATAATACAGTTAAAAAGCAGATTGTAGAAGAAAGTAGTCGAGTGTGGAAAGTGCTCAGTGTGTCCTCCAGCAGTCTAAGCCTATCTGCTCTTTAACTGTATTATTTGCATCTGCTCTGTCTTCATCCCCGTGAGTCATGGTGGATGGCTGCTTATAGTGAGTCAGAATCCTCTGGAGGTTTCTTCCTGATAAAAGGGAGTTTTCCTCTCCACTGTCGCTGCATGCTTGCTTAGTATGAGGATTGCTGTAAACACTTTGACACTAGTCAGTGACTCGATGCAATTTGCTGGATTCCTTATATAGGAAACTTTTTACTGATTGGCTTAATGAATTGACCTGTATTGGTATGTTTACTATGTGAAGTGCCTTGAGACAACGCTTGTCGTGATTTTGCACTATATAAAAAACTTGAATTGTATTATTATTAGTAGTAATTAAAACACATGAGAATTTGTTCAAAATTATGATGACTCTAATCATAACCTGATTCTCTAATCTAAGTTATTATTTTCAAACCAATCAACCATTTGGCTTAGCTCTGTTAAGGCTGAAAAGGTCCTACCTAGAGTTAATTGTTAGGATTTTACTGCATCGGAAGTTCAGACTTCCTACTTTCCCCTGGGACAGTGAACGCATCTGAACACAAGCTAGCTTGTTAGCGAGTTCGCAGAGATGCTGCTAGCTGTGAGTAAAACATTTGGCCAGAAACCCGTTAAATTCCAGCTGGAAGAAGATGGAGACTTCTACATGGTTGGATCGGAGGTAGGTGTGTGTGGTGACCGACTGTCGGTGCGTTTCTTCAGTTGAACCAGACATCATTCGTGCTAGCAGCAGTTAGCATGCTAAAGGACTGTAGCGACAAAGAGACTCCTGAAGAGCATCGCGGTTCGGGTGCACCTAGCCCAGCAGCAGCCGGCAGGTCCAGTATAAAAGGTGTTCCGAAACAAACAACACAAATTTTGAAATTTAACTACAGTTACTAGACTAGCTTTAGCGTTCCAACAGAGCAGCATTTTGAGCATTAAGTTGGTTTGAAAACCTGATTTAAACCCAGAAAGAACCTGACTGAAATGTTTGATGTTCAAACATCAAACACGAGTCACTCTGCTGTTTAACAAACTTTTCACTCATGAAACTAAAGAACATTCACGCAAATTATAAAATACATGAAATTATGTGATTTTTTTTCTCGGTCCTTGGACGCACCATGAACACATTTGTGTGTCACAACCTCACAACCATCGACATATATACACAACTAGAGGTTTTACCTCCACGAGATTTTTTTTTTTTTTGGTATTAGAAACACGTTTTTATTTCATGTAATTTGATTTTAGAGTTTTTAGTGTTTCACAACCACAGATGTTATTGTGGACCAGAGAAAAGGAAGGACTTAATACAGTAGTCCATCGCTGTAATGCGGTTTACCCTTTGCAGCCTCGCCGTTTCGCAGATTTCTTTCTGTCAATAAATAAAAGGTCATCCATCCGTTTTCAGCTGCTTATCTGGAGGCTCCACACTCTACATCTTGTTTATTATTTGGGACTAAAAATCAATCATTTACATGTTGAAGAGGTTCATGTGAGTGATCACAGCTGCATTTTCTTTAAAGAGCAAGTCAACCCCTACAGAGTCTAACTCCACTCCCACTTCACGTTTGAAAAATGCAACACATGCTGTTGCCTGGCAGACCGAGGGGGCGGAGCCGCTAACAAATACACACACACTCAGGCTCACGACAGCATTGTGACATCATAATGTACCAGTTTACATCATAGCATACCTCTTAGCCAATAGCAGTGGTAGATTTAAATTAAAATACAGTGCAGAGTTTTTACCTGACAACGGCACAACACTGCCAGTTTTAGGCAGTTTTAAATTTTAACTAAGATGCACTGAAGTGCCAAATTATTGACGACACGTGTCTGCAGCACGATTAGACACTCGTTTATTTAGTTTATCAGCAAAAAAAAGTTTATTTGGGGGTGACTTGCTCTTTAATTTCCAATCTAATGTTGAATCTGTGCCTCACAACCTAAAATCAAAGAGACGTATCATTAATCAGTCAACAGTGGATGGATTTTCTAGATTATTTGACAGCAGCTCAGTTCAGGGTGAAGATCCAAGCTTGTTTATCCAGTCCTTGGATAAGCTATGCTGCAGTATCTTAGACAAAGTGGCTCCCATTAAGCAGATCGTTTTATCTAACACAAAGAAAAGTCCTGGGATTAATTACAACATTTACAGTCTCAGAAGGACATGCCGCAGCAACTATGTGGCTGCACTGCACTGGTCTCCAGGTGAGGCAGCCGCACCTCCACCTGGCTCAGCCACTCACCTGCTGATATGACACGTTGTCGCTGGAAGCCGCTCACCTCCTTGAAAAAATGCCCTCCTCCCCTTTTCTTCTAATGATGGTTAACAGGAAATTCTCCAGAATGCTGCAGAATCTGTCTGCTCTTCTCCTGAGCGGTAAGTCTTGTGTGAGTGTGTGCTTGAGTGCACACGCTCGTTAACAACTCGTTTTTAGATTGAGAAACTCCGACAGCACACGGAGGGTGCGGTCTACCACTGCCTCAGTGCTGCTCTCTCGGTCCGCCAGGCGACGCCTCTTTCATAAGCGTTTAGCTAACTGGAAGTGTGGATGAAATACGTCTCCTCCCATGCATAGACCCTCACTTTAAAGTTTGCAGTGACATCATGATGACATCATGGTGAATTCACAGTGTTAGTATTGTTAGATCTTTCTGCAGCTTCTGACACAGTTGATCCCAGCACCTTAATTAACAGACTTGGTGACTTGGTGGGGATCTCTCTGGAACTGTTCTAGACTGGTTTAGATCGTACCTTTCTAATAGAAGTTACAGTGTCTGTAGAAACCAGATCATGTCAGATTCTACCCATCTGTTCTGTGGGGCACCCCAAGGCTCTGTTTTGAGTCCACTGTTGTTTCTGCTGTACATACACCCTCTTGGACAGATGCCTGATTCTTTTCATGATGTCTCTTATCACCTATATGCAGATGATATTCAGCTGTACTGCTCCTTTAAGGATTCTGAGTTCTAAAAACTGTCTGAATTACTAGAGTGTCTTTCAGCGATCACCAGCTGGCTAGAAGATGACTTCCTTCAGTTAAACTCTGAAAAGACTGAATGTCTGATCATTGCCCCTGAGAGCAAGGTTCCCCTGATTAGTCTAAAACTTGGTCATTTATCCTCTGCCGTCAAGACAAACTTAAGGCATTTGGGTGTTTTTGACCAATGTCTCTTGAAGGTCACTCAAAAACTTTGGTCTGAAACAGTTTTTATCATTTAAGAAATATCTCCAAACTGTGAAGGTTGGTGTCAAAACATGAACTTGAAATGGTTGTCCATGCCTTTATCTCCTCCCGTCTAGATTACTGTAACACACTTTTCACATGTTTTAACAAAAAAGCCCTTGACCGCCTTCAGCTGGTTCAGAACTCTGCAGCGAGGCTCCTAACTGGAGCAAACAGAAGAGCTCACATCACTCCTATTCTGATGCCTCTGCACTGGTTACCCGTTAACTTTAGAGTTTATTTTAGAGTCCTGACTAGAACCTTCAGGGCTCTGCATGGTCAAGCTCCTCCCTATATTACAGAAGTGTTAAAGCCTTATGCTCCAACCCGAGCCCTCAGGTCCACACACCAGAACCTTCTAGAAATTCCAAAGACCAGATACAAAAGTCGAGGTGATGGCTCCTTCCACTGTTGCACCCCGACTCTGGAACGATCTTCCTTTATCCTTACGCAGCGGTGACAGTCTAGACACTTAAAAAACAGCTTAAGACCCTTTTATTTAAATCGGCTTTTAACTAAACCTTTTATTTTCTTATTTTTAACTGAAATTTGTAATAATCTTTCAACTGTTTATAATTTATTTCATAATTGTATTACTTTTTTCTGGTTTTAATTTATTTATGACTATTTATATTGTTTTGATCTATGTGAAGCACTTTGTGATTTTCTGTCTGTGAGTGCTATAGAAATAAACGTACTTACTTATCTACTCCGAGCCCCTCCCGGATGACCGAGCTTCTCACCCTATCTCTAAGGGAGAGCCCAGACGCCCTGCGGCCGCTTGTATCCGCGATCTTGTTCTTTCAGTCACTACCCAAAGCTCGTGACCATAGGTGTCGAGAGCTTCGCCTTCTGACTCAGCTCTCTCTTCACCACGACAGACCGGTACAACACCCGCATCACTGCAGATGCAGCACCAATCTGCCCATCGATCTCACGCTCCAGTTTTCCCTCACTCGTGAACAAGACCCCGAGATACTTAAACTCCTCCACTTGGGGCAGGACCTCATCCCTGACCCGGAGAAGGCATTCTACCCTTTTCCGACTCAAGACCACGGTCTCAGATTTAGAGGAGCTGATTCTCATCTCAGCTGCTTCACACTAAGTCCATCGTGAGCCGGAGAGCACGTTCCAATGAAGCCAACAGGACCACAACATCTGCAAAAAGCAGAGACCTGATCCTCAGGCCACCAAAACAGATCTCCTCAACACCTTGGCTGCTCCTATAAATCCTGTCCATAAAAGTTATGAACAGAATCGGTGAGAAATGGGTTATTACTACCAAGCAAGACGGAACAAATGCCACAAAATTTGTGCATCACCATGCTGGTGTTATGTCAATATGAGTTCCCCCGTCGAGATCCGTTTCTTTTCCACCCGGAGTCGTAGCGACATCACACCGGCACAGTGTCTCTTGTAAAAACGGCTTTTGAAAAATGACCTGAAAATGTTTTTATTAAAATTAAATGAATAAATTAAAATCAGTCATTGATATTTTAGTGCGAGTATCAAGTGTGTACCTCTGGGTGTGTGTGAGCATGACCTCTATTTTAGCCTTGTTATTGTGTTTTATCGATATTTACTAACTCTTATGTTAGCTGTCTTTAGTGAGCACAAGGACCTGTGCAATGACAATAAATGGTCTTAGAATGGGAGGTGTTGGTTCGTACAACCCTAATAGATGTGACCTGACAAGTCTGCTTGGTGATCACACACCCAGGGTCTCTCCTGGTTCCAGTGGTAGCAGCGAGCTGGGGCAGCAGAATCTTAATCAGAATCAGAAAAGGTTTATTGCCATTGTCAGTGAACAAACAATTCACAAACTAGGAACTTGCTTTGGTACTAATGTGCTACATATAACATGAATAATAAAATTAAAAATATAATAAAATATAATAAAAAACTAGAATAAAACTTTCAGCGATAAAAAATGGCAGGTAATGGTAACATGGCCGATAACGTGACATTGTGTCGAGTACAGAAGACCAGCATGGTTGTGTGTTTATAAGCTGTTCACAAGTCTTAACGGCAGATGGAAAGAAGCTGTTCTTAGGGCGGGAGGTTCTGGTCCGGATGGACCGTAACCTCCCGCCTGAGGGAAGCGGCTCAAAAAGTCTATGACCCGGGTAAGAAGGGTCAGCTGCTATCCGGCCTGCACGCCCCCGAGTTCTGGAGATGTACGGGTCCTGGAGAGATGGAAGGCTGCAGCCAATCACCTTCTCAGCAGAGCGCACAATGCGCTGCAGTCTAGGTTTGTCCCTCACCGTGGCTCCAGCGTACCACACAGCGATGGAGAAGGTGAGGATGGACTCAGTGATGGCCGTGTAAAACTGCACCATCATCTGGGCCGGCAGCTTGGCCTTTTTCAACTGCCGCAGACAAAAACAAACAAAACACGACGCACGTTTGCACCAGGGCGTCCTTCCTCGGCGCCATCTTGGTTAGGTAAAAAGAAGAGTGGAAGGTCGGATCCGACCCGAACGCGGAACGTCGCGTCTGGCTGCTATGGCCGTACTATAATCAGCGTTGTGTGTTCCAGCGGTCTTTTGTGAGAAAATATATTCCGGCAGTTCACTTAAGTTAATTAATGGAAATCTAGTGACACACCTGAAAACAACTCCTGCCTTTAGCGGAACTTTGAATGTTGTTTTTTACAGTGCATCGTGTTCTGCGTCACGATTGGGGCATTGAGGGGTTTAACCGCCTCAAAGCATCTATAATCACTGTAAAAAGGAAGCTGGCTACTTTGCAGATTTCACCTATTGCGGGCTAAACGAGGGACCACTGTGTGTGTATGTATGAATATTACTTCCTGCTGGGTGCTGATGGTGAACGTGTGATGTTCTCCTCACGTCTTTGGTGTTCCAGCACACCCAGGTTTGACCTCTGACGTGTGTCTTTTGTCCAGGTGGGAAACTACCTTCGGATGTTCAGAGGGTCGCTCTATAAAAGATATCCATCATTATGGAGGAGGCTGGCTTCTGTGGAGGAGAGGAAGAAAATCATGGCATCATCACATGGTGAGAGGCTTAAATCTCCGATTACTCAACTATCAGTTTTAAACCAAAACTAGTCAGGTTAGTTATTACACCAGAAGTATGAGAGCTGGTTATCAGCAGTGTTGGGAACGTTTGTTTCAAAAATGAACTAGTTCAAAGTTCAGTTCATACATTTTAAAACTAACTAGTAAATTTTTTAGTTCATCATAAAATTTTTATGAACCAAGTTCACAGTTACAAAACTAACTAGTTCATCATTCTTTTATCAGAATACATATAATATATGATTCCTCTGATTTTATTGAACTGTTTCTCTCTTTGTTTTTTCTTGTTTGGGTTTTATTATTGTTTTATTGTATTTTATTACGTGTTTTCTGTCAAGTGACCTTGGGTGTCCTGAAAGGCGCTTTTAAATAAAATGTATTATTATTATTATTATTATTATATATATCTAATTAATTAGAGGCTTTGTAATTAATTAATCTAAATTAATCACATTTTTAGAGTGTTTCTGTTTTAACTTAAACTTCTGTTTTCAACTTTAAGACACGTTGTTTGTGATTGTTTACAGAGTAGTGAGAACACGGAGCGTTCTCCCGGCGGCAGCCAGGTGCCTCTCGTTTGTCTGACTACTTTCATAAACTACTGTTAGGGCAAAGAATTATTCTGTCTGGTGTGCTTTCAGCGCTGCACAGATGTTATGTAAATGTTAAAAATATAGCTTACCGCAACTTTTGTAAAGTTTCCGGTGTCACCGGGCAGCTGCAGCAGAGACGATCTCTGAAAAGTGTCCGGGACACGGACTCCGTTGTTGTCTGGAAGTTTTTTTCAAGTTAAGAGAAGAGGCAGACGGGTTTCCTAAATCGTGCATCAGTCCAAGCAAGGCAACTTCTTTCTGTTTTTATTCCGTTTTAGTAGCCATTAGCGCTGTGCATTGTTGTGTGCGTCAGTGATATTTGGTCTACGAGGAAATCGTGCAATAACAAAGGTTCCGCCTTTCTCGAAATGCAAGCTGTGAGTAAATGCGTTAATTTTTTTAACGCATCATTTTTTTCTAATTAATTAATCGTAATTAACGCATTAAAGTCACGGCCCCAATATATATATATATATATATAAATAAACTGCTCACAAGAATTAAAGGAACACTTTTTTTTAAGTGGGCCTGGCATGAAATCAATTAAACCTGTCTGATAATTTCCTGGCTGGTTAAGCAGCTGAGGGCATTGTTAATCACTTTCAGCTGGATTGGTGTTCATGGACTTAAAGGGACTTTTCGAACTTTTGAATTTTTATGCTCGCGATAGCCCCCTCAGCCAAAAGCGTCACGGCAGCTTCAATAGTAGGCTCGTGCATGAGGCGCGTATGCTGTACTCCTTAACGAAAATAACAGCTGAGACAGTCCCGTGTGTGTGTGTGTGTGTGTGTGTGTGTGTGTGTGTGTGTGTGTGGCCTGGAGGACAGAGGACAGGAGAACGCACAGCTAATTAATTGAATAATTTGGTTCTGTACCTTTCTCTTCAGCACAGCCGACAAAGGTTTATGATGGGTCAGTCCTCCTGCATGCTCAGATCATTCCCTTCCCTTGCTTGAAAAATTGTTCCAAAATGAAAGTTCAACCCACATCTTTTTTATCTGTGAATTCAATGCCGTTCGGTGAGTCTCAAATAAAAATTTGGGCATCTTACTGTAAAAAATATACCATTAATGTAAAAAAGAAACTCTAAAAATGTTCACACCCAGAATCGAACCCAGGCCTTCTGCATGGGAGTCAGACATCTTACTAGGTGAGCTACGCTGTAGTAACATTCACAGTATCTGTAACATTTATATCCTTGATGACAGCTGAAACAACGTCAAACCAAAGAACGGTTCGGAGCGAAAATGGCTATTTTGTTGCTAATTAGCAGGAAATATCTAGAAGAAAGTTCTACAGAAAGTAGCTAAGGGTCCTCAGAAATGTAGCTAGCTTTGTCCCCAGGGCTTTAGGAACAGCGACAAAGTGGCACTGCCTCTCTCTCTGCTGCTAAAGCTACGGATAGCAAATGCTACGGGCTATGCCTGAGCGTGAACGTGCATGAAGCAGCCTGCTCGACCCGAGCATCTCTCTTTTTCTGTGATTTTACAGAAAAACAGGCAATCACAGTAAAAATGCCAGGGCTTATCCTACAGGACCAGGGCATTGCAGGAGAATGTATGAAGAAGAAATTTATTATTTCTATGCATGTTTTGGCCGTCAAACTTCCATAATGCCCCTTTAACGACAGGTGCACTAAAGTGGCAACAATTACAAGACCCTC